ATAAATCGTATCGGAAGTTCTGACCTTGTTGAATTGACTCTGCTTCAGGAAGAAGTGTCTGAGCTAGATCATGGATTGTCGGTCACAACCCAAAAGCTGCAAAAACGTCTAGTAGCACCACGTACTGATTCAAGCTTATGCCATTTATCTGCCAGACAACTCCCTGGAGATGTCGACGTAGCGTTTTCATCACATCGGACAATCTATCTAGTCCAGGTGTACGAGCCATCTTTAGGCTTATCGCACAGCGTTTCAGATGACTAGGGATGAAAAAAATGTTAAAGAGTGGGTACAGCTATGCATAGTTTGTCAAAAGTGTGGAGTTGCATGGCACACGACAATTCCTTCGGGTCATTTTCTAGGGCGTTTCAACTAAATGCACGTAGATATTGTGGGACGCCTGCTAGAATCTAGTGGGTATACACATTCTTCACCTGCATGGATTGCTTTACGAGAGAAAGCACTGGTTGGGGACATTGCTTCTTGAACCGTCACTAGTGCATTCGTTGAAAAATGGACCTAGAACTTTGGATGTCCATCATGTACAACAACCAACCTTAGAGGCCAATTCCAGCGTAGGTTATTTCATGCCTTAACTGCACGTTTAGGTTGCAACAAGCTGCGAACAACAGTCGACCATCAACAGGCGAACGGCGTTGCAGAGAGCCTCTATCGACATCTGAAAGCTGCTTTTTCGGCTGTTAACATATCCCATCGGATCGAGACACCACCTTTAGTCCTTTTGAGCATCCAGAACGCGTTGGAAGCGGACTCTGGATGCACTTTCTCAGAAATCGTATTTACCAAACCACTGTTTGCTCACCGGCTGAGTTAGTTTCCCCATCAACTCCTGCACATTTTGTGAATGGAACATCTTACACCACTCAGTTGATAAATGCGATGCGTCCTGTTCAACTTCAATCAATGGATGTCTTCGTTCGCCGCATTTTATAAGAAACGTCGCAAGTTTCAGTGCGCCATGGAGCCACTTGTTAAAGCACCCTACAATGTCATAAGTAGGCGTAAAATTTTTATATTATCGAGAGAAACGAGCTTGAAGATACTGTCCGTGTCCAACGTCTGAAGTCAGCTTACTCCAAGGGTAACCCCAACATAAACGACATTTCTGCTCACAACAGCTAATCAACAGACACCACATTTATCAAAATACTTGATGGTGCTCCTGATAACATATAGATGCATCACATCCCCGCATAATGAAAATCATTATCACCCTGGGCCATCAGGTTTCCAGGATACTTAGAAATCTATTGGGCCGCTTAGTGTATATGGACATGTACCAACTTTTAACTTTTCAAAAGTTTTTTTTGTAGCGGAGTGCTATGCTAGGAATCAGAGGCTTTTCTAACGTTTTATCATTATGTTTCCTAAAAGTACAAAGAATAAGGTTAGGATTTTTCATCAGTTTATTTATTTTTCGTACATTTTTTTTATAAACATTATTTTCCGGTATTACAGAATTTTGTTTTTATTTCAGCCACAGGGAGTACTGGATAGAAAGTCGAAGCATAACGGGAAATGAGGGTAGCTTACCTTTTGATTTATCATTCTGCTTTTTCAGCGATACTCTACTGTAATTTCAGACAACCAGAGGAAACTCCTGACAGCATCGCAAGAGATCTGCTGTTGATCAAATTACCAGGACTTTAGTTCCTAATGTCATCGTTTTGGAGTCCCTACGCACTTACTACCGTGGCAGTGGCGACTAATCCCTAAAAACCAATAATTTGGGATTCGACGAGATTCATCATTGGTGCTGACCTTCAATTTTAAAAGACTGGCTAGGTTGAGGGCATACGGCCAGGTACCCACGTCATTTCACGCGTAGTCGTGTTAAGTGACGTTGCTCGTACGCCACCATCTATCTAGTTAGTCGAAATACGTCACTACTTCGGCACGCGTCATCTGGCTACTTTGTTGTGTTCTTCCTTTGTCTGGCACTGACCGGTATAAAACAAGTACGAATAACTAGTGGTCGGCCTTGCACCTGTTGAGTTGGCGTGCAACTTATCTTCAGACATATTCTTCTACCCGCTCGTTCTTTGCATGCTATTGTGAAGTCTGGCCACTTGAACTGATGCACTGCTGTGTGTGGCCCCATCCCGATTACAACTTAAACTGCTGGGGATAAAGCTAGATATCATATTAGTACTGAGTGACCAACAGCAATCCCTGAGTTTCCATTTTTTGATAAGACGACAATATGGTTAATAACAACGATCAACTGCCGTAAAGTCATCACGAAAGAGGTAATATACGAACTTTGAGGACTGGTCATAAGTTGACATTAGAATAAATGAGATTCACTCATTATCTTGGAGAGTCAAACTGACTCGCGTAGAAGATACGGTTGATGGCGAGTTAGAGAAGCTTTCATACATGTCCACTGCAAATGGTTCTCAGCAGATTCATTCAGAAATGAGACGTAGTGTCCAATGACTTTCTGAAACTTAGAAGAAAAAAATACTCAGTGAGGCTGACCTAAAATGTCATACAGTAACAAGAGTTAAGAACAAACGAACATCTGAATATTGAAATGACATTCCTTCCTACAGAGCTTCAGATTTGTATTAGTCTGAAGTTCATACCTGGACGCACTAACTATAATCTGTCTTTTTAGGTCAACTAACCTCGCCTGGTTAACTAGTTACTCGCCGGTCCCAAGCCCGGGTAAAGAGGGAAGGTCCGGTATAGAGCTAGCGACCCTACCCCGGAAAACCAACCCAACCGCTACAGAAACTTCAAAGCACAGACAAAATATAAAAGATAAAAACAAACTTATTTCTCGCTGGAATAGGGGAGATATCAGTTGTTTAATTAGTCTATCCTTATTTGCATTCAAATATCCCTATATTCACGTGGTAAATTTGTCGAGTCATCAAAACTACATAGGTTTGCAGTTTTATGCCAGAATTCGATCTAGTAGCTAATATATTCAGAGTTATCAATCGTCTATAAATTTGTATCCAGTGTAATCAGATAAATGACTCCGCTTTTGTTATCAATTTATCGATAAATACGTTTGTTGAGAACCACTTCATAGTTAAAATTGATCACCAGTATATTGCAGTATAGGTCGTAACGCTTCTGAAAGCTTACTCACCCACTTTCTGGTCCCGATTTCCAGACTAACCTTATCTTCTTGTCATAAATTATCAAGGTTTCTAGACTGTCTTTACTATTGAATGTAAGCATATATCTTGTGTGCTTGCTGAGACATCGGTTCACACTTTTTTCTTCTTTTCCTTTCCAGATCCTCATGTTACCCGAGTGAACTGCCTCGGCCAAACTTAAGCACACCACCTGTAAAAATATACCCATAGGCTAGACGAACATACGGCTTCAGTAGTACGTCTCCATTCCACTCCGTTCTCTGCAATCTTTTGAACCTGGCTCCACGACTGCCCAGAAGAGATAAGTTGACAAAAAAAGTTATGTCGTTTGGATTTCATGATTACTGGTTAGAAAGTTGAAGTAATTCATTTTTCATTGATAATTTAAATCTATACTAGGCAATTCGGTATTACGTTGCCTAGGTCGAAACTGGCTTTCTGCATAACTCTATTACATATACCAGATGTTGGTTGTCTGAAGTTAACTAACGTGTTTTTCAATGGTGTCATTAATTCGAATTAATACATAAGAATACAATAATCAGAGTTATGTTCTATGCGTGGCTGATATACACTAATTGATCACTAGAGATTAACAATAAAGTTCTTGTTTTTTAGTCCCGAATACTGACCAAATCCAATCGATCATTTTGAAAATTAGCTGGAACAACCATCGTTACAATGCAATTGGCACGAAGTCCTGGATCGTAATATCATGCCTGTTGATATTCGTCAGCAGGGCGTATCTACAACCTTGGAGAAAGTGATTTCCTCTCTGAGATTTGAACTTGCTTCATCCATTGTTACGGCCAACGACATTATCATTGAGCTGTTGAGGCCAAGACTAACTTCATGCTGTTTGGTCCTGAATACTAATCAATTTGCAACTTTATCACCAAGGTAAGAGGCTGATCATAATCGTAGTGCACGTTCAGATGGATTTTAATTGGTTGGAAGCAATCAGCAGGAAGCTGTGGAACTAAGTTTTGTGCCTGCTGGTACTTGTTATCAAGATGTATCTACAAACTCAAACGATCTGATATCTCTTGTGGAATTCAAAATCGAACCACCCAGTACTGAAATCGAAGACGCATCATGATATGCAAGGAGGTAATAAACGATAGAGTTCGGTCAGCACTCACGACCATACAACATGAAACTGGTTACTCCCCAGAGACTAATCAAAGCATCTAATCCAATCCTACAGAAGGTGAATCGCAGTCTGAATAGTTCAGTGGAAAAGTCTGTGATTATAGACAGCATCGAATAACAAGAGTCCAAATCCTACAAATGACTTTAGTTCCCTTGAGGTTTGAAATATGCCTCGCAGATGAGTGCCTACAAGTACGAAACTAGGATCCAGAGATTCTTGTTCACTGTCTCCAACCAAATAACATATCGTTGTTTTCTAACTGAATAAACAGAATTTTTTTAAATAAAGAGTTCTGTTGACCCTTTTCTCAGTGACTATACCACAGAAAACAGTCATCAATTGGATGAAGTTACCTAATATATCATGAAAATTCTTAGACAAAATGGAAGGATTCAAGGGTTCTGTGTTCGAGTGTTTCATTGGATCTACAGGAATAATAGTAATAACAGTAGTGAAAATGATAATAATTGGAATAAAAACCTTTGAAAGAACTTATCATTCTGTTAAGTAGTGTATTCCTCACCTTCCCTCAACGCCAAAACAGTGCTCAAATCATCAGAAAATGTGCAAAGGATACACAATAAATAAGTAAAACCAGTACCAGCAACTTCAATGATAATAATAGTAATAATAATAATGAGAAGAAGGAGAATATACACGGACCATATTCTGTCAAGAATGCATAATTTCCATCTAACATACATACATATATACTACATGTGTGTTTTCGCCATATGAAATGCAAAAAATCCAAATCCTGCTAAAATAGTCGCTGCTAATGTCCATTTCCATGCATGATCTGTTTGAGATAACTCGAATCCACGATAATGTCTAGAATTAGGAAATAACAGAAATGTCGTTTGTTTGTTATTTTTTTAAAAAAAATAAGCAGATACAATCTCTATACATAAATATAATTGACAGAAGCAGGAAATTGTGGAACATTAGATTTCGATTCAGTGGGTCAATGGCAACATCATTCATCCGAATCCGTTACTGTGTAACGGTCCGAGTTGCAACACCTCATATCACTACATCGAGTAAAAAGGCAGTGAAGTGGAAAATGAAGAAGGAGAGATAACTCAGTCAGAAGAAGTATAAAGTACTAAAAGAGAGAAAGGAGGAATGAAAAAAATAGTGAGATTCGGTATAGCGTCGTTAAGATGAGGATAATGTGTGTATACATCTGCACCACTGACATCGGTTCTCAGCCATGTGGTCACCTAGAGTCAGTCTCCAACCACTAGTTTCGCTTATCCTACCGACCCCAACCGGCTAGTCTACATCGCTTCACATGGCTCAAACCAATAGTCAAGGACTGCATGCATTGATGTCATGTTCTGGTAGTGAACTTGTTGAGGTGCAAGATGCTGAGGATTGCATACTGCATGATGCATATTGTTTAGGACAAAGCAATTATTATTATTATTATTATTATTATTTATTATTATTATTATTATTATTATTATTTCAATAGCCTCTAAAAGTGGATCGGGAATAAAATAAAAATGTTGACCCAAGCATCTCATGAATTATTCATCGGTAAACTTGATTTTGATGTCTCACAGTTAAGTGTCCCAGCTGACCACTATGTCGTCAATAACAATCATTCTACCATCCAGTAGTTTGACACTAAATCCTATCAAGTTAGTATTCATCATGGACTGACATCAGTTGGAAAAACATGAGAGCACTGGGCAGCTGTTCCGTCCTAGTATGGGACTCCCTAGCAGTATGCACCCATGACCTCGACAAGGAACGAACCAAGTGGATCAATAGTGACGTGCTGGACATGGAACCTGGGGGTTCCCGGGTTCGAGCCCTGGCGGGATGAAGTCATGGGTGCGCACTGCTAAAGAGTCCCATACTAAAACGAAACAGCTTTCCAGTGCTCTCAGGTTTCAAATTTTCCTCCAACTGATGTCAGTTCATGATGAATGCCAACTTAGAAAATCATTAAATCTTCACCAACTCCGAAATTCAACTAAATCCTATGCATTGGATTCTTTTCCGCTGTTACATGTGACACGTAAAGTTCTAACACCGAATAAAACTCTCATCTTCCTTAGTGGTATTCATCAATAGTTTCTGTAGGTATCACAGAAATCATGTCAGGTTGTTAGCTTCGACTCTGTAGATATATAAGCAACTGATTTCTAAATTGAAACAGTCTCATTGAAAGGTACGTAATAAAAAAAAGGGTTAAAATACCTACCTAACAATGTTGAAAACTACCTGTACTCACAATTTGGATATAAATCCTTTCAACTAATCAACAATTATTTTCATTGTTGGACAGTATTAACTGTAGCGATAAACAGATGCGTGTTAAAATGATACAATGACCAGAAGTTTTCAATTAAGAGTGTTGTGAATAAACCTACTACATGAATTACGATGGTTTCAGAAAAGTTATAGCGGTAGAATGTTCTAAATGAAACTTGAAGAGTCACTGGAGTTATCAGCACAACTATGGGTGCTATGTACACCGACTGATAGTTGCTACCTTGACGTGGTGGTCGGGATTGCATATCACAATGACCCAACAAGCTATGCTGGTGAAACGCTTGTTCCTTCGAGGTCCTACCATACCAGAAAGGTCTGTTGGATAGTGGTTAGACGAAAAGCAGTTACCGTTATAGTGTAAATTGCTACACTATGATAGGGGTCTGAGGGCGAAGTCGTACTGCTACTACCTGGATGGGGTGTGACAGCAGTAAGGTGTTCCCCTTGGATGACCTGACCAGCAGTGCCATGCTGATGCTGCCTTCTCAGTGGAAGGGGGGTTAGAAAAGGTCGGCCCCAAAATAACACACTTCACAATACCCCACGGTCTGCCAGGCCGGCGGTGTTGGTTCATTTGTCGTTTCCTTTCAACCATCCAGCCCCAAAAATGCAAAAGTTCATACTCAAAAGGCTGAGTGTAACAGGCCTCAAGCAGATGTCCGATGGGCTCTGTGGTCACACAAATCTCTTTCAGGTACCTTAAGAAGAAATAGCCTTCTACGGTGTGGGCAGTCGGGAAGTGTCAAACGCCCTCACAACTCTGTCAGCACTCAAGTTTCTTCTGACTGCTATCCACTTCCCTCATCATTACCTCCTAATCTTCCTTCACGTCTCTTGGTTGATTCATTGATTGATGTGTGTTAAGTGAAACTACTTAAGGTGCTTATTTGATTAGACTAGAGTAATCAATATTTGCTTAAAACTATGAGTTACTTTTGATTGTCGATAAAATATAAGAGGTAGGCATTGTAAATTCTTCATAACTTGTTAACAGTCAGTGCAATGTTTTATGAAAGGAGTGAAATATTGACGATTGACTTTATGCACTGAACAAGTGAGTAGATTTCGAATCTTAAAGTTTACATCAACCATATGCTCATTAAATATTTACTTTACGAATTTTAAACATTTTAAAGGATAGATTAATTGCCAAAGACTTACTTTTATCCGAGATAGTTAATCACAAATTCGTTACAAGGTGTATAACATACTGCAGAGAAGGGTTATTGGATAGTTCTAAGTAAATTTCAACAATGATCAACGATAGCATCCAGAAGAATATATATATATATATATATATATATATATATATATATATATATATATAAGCATACTGTCTGGTTAATAATCTAACTCTGTTTGATGTTATTATCATCATCGCAGTCCGCAGGGAATTTGCGTATAGTTACAAAATTCAAAGCGACACTATCAAAAACTATGATAGAAGATTATCGATTGATTCAATGATTAAACTCTTCAACTGAGCTCAGTATAAGGTTGGAAAGATAGTACAGTTAAAAATGGTGCCTAGTAGAACAGTAGTTATAAATTCGATAACTTGGAGACTATTGATTCGAACCCTACGTCTACATACATCTTATCACAATTCTAGTCAGTGCAACTTTACAATGAGATCACTTTGTTACAAACTCAATCTATCTCAGCTTTTCTAGTCAACAGTTTACAAATGACTGATAACTGAAATTAGAAATAAATGCAAGAAATGATGAAAATAGTAATGCCTTTCAAATAGCTTAGTGATAACGTGTCTGATTTTGGCACTAGGTGATGCACATGAAGATGTTACAGAAGTCTTCAATTCCCTCCAGGTTATAGATATACCATAGTGAAGAGGACGGGAGAAACTTAAAGGAAGTAGCCTCACTCACCTATCCAGGCAGTACTGTTTCAACTACAGGCGGTATAAGCACAGACGAGGACGTCAAAGCCAGCCAGGATTGGAAACACAGCAAGACAGGCGTTCATTAGCCTGAAACCAGTGTGGACATCTACTGCACTCAGCACAAAGCGTGAACAACATCCGGATTTTCAATACCAATGTCAAGTCAGTGCTTCTATGTCATGGTTGAGAGACTTGGTGGCGCGTTATGAAAGGGATTTCCAACAAACTACAGACATTCATCAACAGCTGCCATCTACGCTGGCTCGTTACCGAAGATCAGATGGCCAGAATAATAAGAATGAGCAACAAGCAACCAACCAAGAACCTATCACGCAACAAATATGTAGAAGGAAGTGGAGATGGATTGGCCATACACTGAGAAGGCCGCCTAGGAACATCACGTGCCAGGCCAGGCACTCGAGTGGAATCCCGATGGGAAGCGATAAGTTGGGCGTCCGAGGGTGACATGGAGGAGATCGTGCGAGGAGGAAATGAGAGCTTCTGGGCTATCGTGGAACCAGGTTCAAAAGATTGCAGAGAAGAGAGTGTAATGGAGACGTGCTACTGAAGCCCTATGTTCCATTAGGAACCCAAGGGACAAATAATAAATAATATAATAATAATAATAATAGTGACGAGGACCAATACATGCGAAACCCAAGTTAAACACGGCTTCGCACTGACTACTACTAACTGTCTACTTCAAAGAAATTTCAACAACTAGATCAATAAAAAGTACAAAATATTGCAGTCTGTTTGATAACTGACAGTGGAAACCAAAATATGCATTTCGTCTTATTTCGGACTTGTCATCTGGAGGTATCCGTACCCCAATGAATAATGTTGTTTCAAATGATAATCACAAACAGTACCCATTGCTTTAGATACCAAAGCGTTATCCACTCAGTTACTGGAGCACAAAAGCCACTACTTTTGTAACTGGTATCAATTGCTGTTTATTGATACTTGTGATTTCTTGTTACTAATAATAATAATAATAATAATAACGGATATCCAAGCAATGTGAAAGGATGCGTATAGGAGCTCATCTGTCAACAGAAGTAGAACAATTCGATACGATGCAGCACCAGGAAATTATAAGTATCAAGAAACAAAAAGATATAACTGGTTTCATTTAGTACTCTTACTCCAAAACGATGATTATGAAAGAGAAATTTTGCGATTATAACTAGATTTTTCTAAATAAGAAAAAAGTTGAAATGTGATGCTTAAATTAGATAGGATTGTAGTTCATTAATCAAAACCACACTTGGGCATTGTGGTCGAATTCATAATTCCATATTAGATTTGTTTATTTAATGCATAACACACACTGAGTGATGATATTTCGAGCATAAATTATCATTGCTCATAATCATATCGATATTGTTATCCTATTAGGAAGCATTGAAATTCCAAACTAGTAAACTCTTACGAGTTAAAACTAAAGCTTAATGACCTATAAATAGAAGAGGATGAAAACTATGAATAGTTTCATTGTAACAAATGTCAATCAATATAGTACTCTAGAGGCAGTCAGGCGTCAACTAAATATTCACTCAGAACTGAACCAGAGAATTGAGATATCGGTTGATGAGATTATATTAGGCATACAGCTATGCCTAACCTTTACAGTCTTCAAGACTCACGACGAAATACACAGACAAACAGAAAGAGTAGTAATTGGATCGCCAATATCCCCAATGATAACAAATATGTTCATGGCTTTACAAACGTTTAGTCCTGTAGCAAAAATATGGTGACCATATGTGGATGATACATTCACTGTGTTGTAATCAAAACATATCAACAATTTCCTCACACTTATATAAACTCAGTAGTAGGCGCAACCCAATTCACTACAAGAAGGTAGAAAATGAACAAAGAGAATTGCCTATGTTGGATTGAGGGATAAAACGAAGGACAGACGGCGTTTACATACTACCGTCTACAGAAATCCGACATATTCCAACAGGTATCTTAACTTCAAGTAATCCCATCCAATGTCAGTTAAGGTAGGCTTAGTCAAATATCTAAGTGATAGAGCTAGGAAAATGACTAGTCAGTGCAACGACCTAGACAAGGAACTGAAACACATAAAAGAAGCAATAATAGTTAATAATTATCCTCCACAGTTTATTAAGAAATTCATACGAACACATAAGAAACCAAATGATAACAGTAACACGAGTACGAACAATAACAGCAACACAAGTAGAAAGGAGTTCACAGCCTCCATTGTGTTACCCTATAAGGAGGGTACCTCCAAAACGTTACCTAGGATCTTCAACAAAGCTGGAATTAGGGTGGTATCTAAACTTATAAACTAACTGAGAAATAAGCTTCGTCGCCTGGCTGAAGGATCCAATAGAACCAATTAAGCAAAATAATCTAATCTGTCCAATTCCATATAATGACCATGAGTCAGGTCAAGTACATAGATCAGACTAGTCGGTCGGGATCAGTTAGAATAGCGGAACATAGGAATTTATCTAAATCTAGAATGAAAGACCCGAATAAGATCAATAATCTACAAAAACACTCACCTATTGTAATGCATGCATTAACATACAACCATACAATAGGATGGATGGATAAAACCACTGTACTCAAGTCCAATATAATTACGTGGAGGGAGAGCGAGAGAGAAAGAGGTTGATTACTGTACTTTGTTCGTCGAATCAACAGCAACTAATACCTATACCAGAGATGTAGAAAATTTTACTACCGACAGAAGCAAGGAACAAGAGGTGACAGGACTATTAAAGAACCAGATGTCGAAAGTAGTGTGATTACACTGATATGATTATGAGCGGTGATAATTTATGCTCGAAACGTTACCAAGTAAATAATACTGTCCACTCAGTGTGTGTTATAAATCAAATAAACAAATCTTATATGAAATTTGATGAATTGTAACTGGCAGATCAGTGGGTTCAAATCCAACTCCACCTAATTAAACTTAGAAAGTCAATTTAATAGGATTGGTTATCATAAAATTAGTTTGACTCATAATCTTTGTATATGGTTGTTTTTATGTACTTGGTGAGATGTATAATAAGATACATTGTCAAATGTCAGTGAATATGATAATTGATGAGTTAGTTTGCCTGTAATCGAGGACGTAAGTATCTAGCCAATCCATTCATCACAGGGTCTGATATCTGTTAAGTATTCGTTGGTTAATACTTTCTCAGTTTCAATTAGACGCTAAATGATATTATCAACCTTATGATATAAGAAGATATGCTTGTTAAGTCAAACACTCTCCGATTACAATAAGATTGTCCCCATCATGTCTTGTTGAAATAGTCCTGTTAGTTGAAGACACTAACAAGATGTAGAGTCTTATGAACACTTTGAGTGGGAATTCGAGAATGTGTGGGATGCATTTCTCGCCACCGAAATACAAATTGATGCTCCAGGATGGGTCTTCAACGATTACCCACTGCGACTAACAATAAAGAGTGAAGTGGTTGAGTGTGCCGACCACTTCACTTACTGGGAAGTGAAGTGGGATTAGCCGTGCCCTGGTCGCTCAGTGCCTGATGAAATCTCTACACGAATACAAAAGGCTCGGTTGGCTTTCGCCAGCTTACCCCACCTGAGACGCCACCGTGATATCCGACTGTCTGTTAAGGGTCACGTTTACTGCACAGCAGTCTGCTCTGTTCCACTCGATGGCTGTGAAACATGGCCATTTCAGGTGGAAGATATGAGAAGGCTGGCTTCAGGTGTTTGACCACCGTTGCCTTCGTAATATACGCCGTATTCTGTGGTGTCACCACATGAATGATGCAGATATCAGGCTCAGGTGTAGAGTTTTAGGGAGAAGAGGTAAGTCAGTTGACACGGTTGTGAACCTTCATTGACTGAGATGGTTGGCTCGACATGTATTATCTATGCCTAGTCGCCGATTGCCTCATCACAGAATGTTGGTCAAAGTAGGTTCAGGTTGGAAAAGGCTCGAGTCGGCCAGAATAAAACATGGCATCAATGTATGAAGTCTTTGACTGTTGGTTTGAGTCATATGGGGCGATACAGACTAGGTGGTTGGGGTTGGTGGGACAAGAGAAACCAGTAGTGGTTGGAGACTGACTCTAGGTGATCACGTGGTTCAAAACCGATGTCAGTGGTGCAGATGTATATACATTTTCCTCATCTTAACGCTATACCGGATCTCACCATTTTCTCATTCGTCATTTCTCTCTCTTACTACTTTATATTTCTTCTGACTGAATTTTCTTTCCTTCTTCATTTTCCACTTCACTGCCTTTTTACTCGATGTAGTGATATGAGGTGTTCCAACTAGGACCGTTACGCAGTAATGATTGGTCCTATTTTGATTTCGATGGATGAATGGATCATGTTTTGTCAACTAAAACAATGAAACGGTTCAGACTGACTAAATTCAGCAACAGCCTAACTTTTACACAGGAATCAATGATTCTAATTCATCATTCTGAGACACATTTTGGATGATAGCTACTCAACTACGACCCTATTACCTTTCATCTTCCCGAGATTTCAAATAAAATCGTTGAACAACCTAATCTATTGATACATACATACTTAGGTATTACCCTTTGGTGTGGCTAGATTGACATCGACTAGCAGGAAGTTTTACTTGACCTAAGTTTCATCCTTTCTGAGATCTATCAGTACAGCATCTTGAGAAACCTGAGTAAGCCAATATTGCATCAAAGAACTAAAAACATGACAAATAACAAACAACTTGAGAGGTACACTATGGGCACCATCCACCGGTTAATTTCTGTAGACCATTATTCTTTGAAGTACATCAAAGGTTTTTTTTTAAAAAAACAACAAGAATTTCAATCCACTTACGGATAATTTGCCATAGTGCACAACAGTATGTATACAGGATGAAAATCTGGTTCACGTAGATTTGAACCACCTTTTATGTAACGATTAGTAACGCCACTACCAGTAGTAGCAGTATGATGTAAATCAGAACGTGAAAGATGTCTAGTAGACATTTCATCAGTAGGTAAATGAATATCTTCTTCTTCATTGTTGTTATATAATGTTTCTGATAAAGTAAATCTTGTGAACCAAGTTTTGACCGATGCTATCACCGATTACTGTTACTCCTAATGAAGAGATCGAAGAAGGAGTATAAATTGGTTCAGCTGAACCAGCACGACGTCTTCGAATTGGATAAGCTTTATTATTATGACAGCCATTAAGAGATGTATTAGTACTAACAGTGGAAGTTGAATGTTCACATGATAAAGATTGACATCTTGGTATTAACTGAATACTAGAGAATGGTTCAGGAGGAGGTAAATTATATTTTGTCGCCATTTCACTAGGATCAATTTGATAATTTTGTATAACACGTGATTGATCTGATTTAGCAGCAACAAAAAGACAAGGAATTCGAGTACCTCGATAGAAATTCTGTATATAATGAAAGAAAGAATGATTTAGGTTACACGATTAGTTATCAAACGGATATATGAAGAGAGTATTCTAGATGCGAACAGAAATTGTAGATAATGTAGTCAAAGTGTAACAGTAACGTCTGCTGGATATCGTAGTGTATATATTAATCACATCAGTTGGAGAACCATTGAAAACCCGGCTAGGGATAGAACTCAGAGCCTTCAGGTTTCTAGGTGAACAGGTTAGTCATTCAGCGACTGGATCGGACGATTTTCAATAGTCCACAGTTCTCTATTTCCGTAAATTCGTGATACTGTCCAAAGTGTTCACTAGGGATCCACCTCACTTCCGAATGGTGGACTCCATAGGTCACGATTTCCCATTACTCATTACAACTTCCGGATATCTATCTCGTAGTATGTCAGTAATGAGCACTACACAGTAATATATTTTGAAGTTATTAGATATTTCATATTGATCTTCGTGACTAGCAGAGGAATGCAGGTTTGCGTTTTGTCCTATCTAGGACTCGTCAGCTGGACTTGAACCCAGTGCCTTTGTTTCAAATGCCAGAGAGTTATTCATTAAGCCACTGTGGCACGATAGTTACCTCTTGTGCAACGGGTATAAGTTATTGTATTGATACACGTAACTTCCCGGTGCTATACAGGGCAGACGTGCTCGACGTAAGTTGGCGAATGGGCTCCTACGAGGATGCCTTCCTACTGCACGGATATTTATGATGTTATATTGATCTTGGTGACTAGTAGAGGAATCCCGGACGCATCTGCATAGGAGCCCATCTACCAACAACAGAGAATGAGCAATTCGACGCGGCATAGCAACGGAGAATTGCTAGTATCATAATAACTGATACCCGTTGCACAAGAGGTGGCTATCATGCCCCAGTGGCTTAGTGGATGACGCTATGACGTTTGAAACGAAGGGCACTGGGTTAGAGTCTCAGTGGGGTGGAAGTACATCCAACTGACGAGCCCCAAACAGGACGAAACATGCATCCTGGATTCCTCTGCTAGTCACCAAGATCAATATAGGCAGCCACACTATTATTGGCTAAAATCAATTTTATGCCTTAACAAAGATTTCTTTCCTCATGAAAATTAAGGTCAATCAAGTCAAAGTGGAACGAAAATGTCTCTCTCTCTCTCTCTTGAATCACACAATACATAAGATCCCGGGTCAGTCAGTGTGAACACTACTTACAACACTCATGTGACCTTTAAACATACCATAGTTATTTGTGAAGTTAATATTGATGATTTCATAAGATAAGGGAAGGCTTCAAATGTTGAATTAATTTACTTCATCAGATTGTAGACCGTTATCGGATCAGGTGGCTGAGACTTGTGTTATGCATGGCTAGTTACCGTCCTCCTTATCGCACAATGTTAGCTGAATTAGATACAATATGGAAAATGGTTAGAGGTGGCCACAATAAAGCATAGTATCAGTCAAAATTATTGGGCCGGATCTTTAAGAGTAGCGTACACTCCTCGATTGGGGTTCGTATGGCAACCTAAGTCAATGGTTGGCGACTCTAGGTGATATAGCTCAGAAACAATGGAGCAGATTTATCCATCCATCATATTGGATTCTATTATTGGTTTACTCTTTTTTTCTATCTATCTTATAACTTTTTACGACTCTTGATTACATTTTTCCAAAAAATTGATTCCCCATCTTTCATTTTTGTGCCTTATTTTCTGATTATTGATGTGAGGTATGGAAACTTAGTTTGTAGTAGTGCCAGGTACCAGGATGGTTGTAAATGACCGACTGACTGACTGACTGATGGATGACTGACTGGCTGACTGACTGACTGACTGACTGACTGACTGACTGACTGACTGACTGACTGACTGACTGACTGACTGACTGACTGACATATAACACACTCAACATGCATTTTTTAAAAGTGACCAAAATGAATTCAAATATTTGAACGAACTTACAAGAAATAAGTTAGCCACATAACGAAATGACTCAGAATCGGAGACATCATAAACTAAACAGGCTACATCTGCTGATAATGCTTCACTGGCAGACATTTGTTCACCTGTATCAGCACTGATTTCATGCATTAAAAGAGTTCTTGACTGACCATACACTGGGATACCACATGCAGCTACCCAATTCGATGTACGACCAGCTAAGCCACCGATACCATTACCACCGGAACCACTTAAACTACGACCAAGTAATCCTTGCATTAAACAAGTCTTAAAGTAAATGAAAAGTAGGCGAATAATAAATAAAAAGTTGATTGTATTCTTTATACAATTTTTAAAAAAAGTTTTTTTTCCATGAAAAAATAATCTATACTACACACCTATAATGATTTTCATGCAAACTGAGATTCGTGCTTTTCAATAAGAAATTGCCTAAAATCTATTGTATATTCATCCTCTTGTTATGACTAGTATAGTTATACTAAAAGAAGTGGCTATCGTGGCTCGGTGGTGTAGTGGATAACGCTCTCGTGTTTCAAGCGATCACTCCCGAGTCCGAATCCCAGTGGGAACAACATCACTCACTGGGAAGCAGGTACATCCAGCTGACGAGTCCCAAATGAGACCAAATGCGTATCCTGGATTCCCCTGCTAGCCACGATCCAACCTTAACATAATCAGATTGCTGGCAATATCGAGGCATCCACACAGGAGCCCATATGCTAATAGAGACCGATCAATTCGGTCCAATCTACGACGGTATCATATAAAGAAAACCTTATACTAAAAACTATACCCGTCGCACAAGAAGTGGCTATCGTGGCTCGGTGGTGTAGTGGATAACGCCCTGACGTTTGAAACGATCACTCCCGAGTCCGAATCCCGGTAGGAACAACATCATTCACTGGGAAGCAGGTACATCCAGCTGACGAGTCCCAAATAGGACGAAATGCGCATCCTGGATCCCATTGCTAGCCAAGAAACAACCTTAAGATATTCTTAGCTAACAAACTGGTCTATATATTCAATGATGATGATGAGTGAAGCTGGTTGAAAACCTGAGTCACAACCAGAGACCTACACATTGTAAGCCCAACCCTCTTATCGACAGAATAGTGAGAACCAATCACTAACTAGGTGACAAAATTAGCGACAAAACTGAGCACATTATACAGCTGAGCGCTTCGAAAGCTCACCTATGGTAAGGTTTTCGACTTTAGCACTGACAGTTGCAAGTTCATATTTTCCAAGAGGTATCAATTCTCTGAACGGTGCAGATACGTTTTGCAAAACTTAAGATTTAGGTCTATCTTTATCTGACAAGTGTCTAAAAATACTCAATATCAATCATAGGTCATCGTAATGGCGATTCGGCTAGCTTAGTGACTGCACTACAAAATGCTCAGAAGAATTCGGTCAGTACCTAGGAATAAATAACATGGAATTGATTACTTTACATTGAGTAGCCAATATATACTTAAGGCAACCATACTTAGCAATCTCATAACACTAAGACCTGATTAGTGATGGAACCTATTAGCTCGATCAGAAGAGCTTACTCCCAGTTACTCCAGTGTTGCTGGTTCGAATTCAATCTCGATCCAAGTTTTCGGCAGGAAGCCCTGCTTCACCTAGGTTTCGTGCCTTTCGACACTCATCAGCAACACATACCTGCAACCTTGACGGGACTAACATCCCTTGTAGGATTTGAGCCTGCATCATCCACTGCTGCAATCGGAGAAGTTACCAATGAGCTATTTGGGTCGCGATTGAGCCCCTGTAGGACTGTATAACATGAACTGATTGGTCACTAGAAGGCAACCAACTTCACGTTTTCCAGTCCTATATGATGGGGTGGGTTTGAATCTCAGACAGTACATCAGTTCTGTCGACGTTACAGATATGCTATGCTGACGAGTAACAAGAAGCATGAAACCTAAGTCAGGCAGGGCTTCCTATTCATTGCCTCCATTCAACTAGTATCTTTCTCAGCAAATCGTGATTGCGAGTTTGATCAGCATTCAGAATTCGAAAACATGAAGTTGGTTACCCTCAAGTGACAAATCAATGAATGACGTACTCTCCAAAGAATGTCCATATGTACTGAATAGAGAATAAGCAGAGAAGAGTTTAACACAATTCCTACAGATAAACCTTTCACCAGTATTTAGACAGATCCCTATTTCAAACTCTAAGTACATTTCTTATGTAACTGTCTTCATCAATTATCCCTCCTTTCAAATAAATTCGCTTTGATGGTGTCATGTTCTCTGGGTTCGATGGCTAAATCCTGAAGCTTTTATTGTCATTCTAGACAACATCATCAGTTGCATAAAGTTTAAAAAGAGGTGAGCTACGGGATTTTCTCTACACGTGGTTTAGTAGTTCATCCTAATGACCTTGGGCGTGATTGGTTGTTTGTGTTGAAGCCTTGTTATTGTCTCGGTACATATTTCTATTGGTTGTACCACTGACGTTAACTTTGTCCTTCGTTTTACTTCTCGTGTTTCTGATTGGTGAACAGATTGGGTCAGTGTCATTTGAACCAACATTTTCTCTTCAAAATCTTCCTACAGTAACCAACTGTTCCACTGTTGAACTAGAAAATTTCCTTTCAAAAATCAGTTTTTCACCATTCTTTATAAGAAATAAAACAAAGTTATTACAAAGATGTAACAGAGAAGAAAAAGTTGGTTTTCTCGATGAGTTCATTTCCTAAAGTTACAGAATAACAGCTTAATCTCCGAGAGGAAAGAGACGGAATATCAACAGTTCCACTCTTGAACACCTTGTCATCTCCAGACATGTGGCTCTTCCTTGTAGTTAAATTCAAAGTAATTTACACAGTGCCTCTCCATAGTTCCATAGGCCTGGTTGAATCTTGGGATACAAAAATTTATCCATTGAACATTTTTCACCAAATTTTTCCCTTTCAATTTGTTTCAATCATTTAAATATGTCCTTTGAACGCATCATGTACTCTGGCACATTTTTAAACTATTTTCAAATCAAATTTTGAGGGAGTTGTGGGGATTTAGATGTCAGTCTACGACGAATAACAACTTGAAATATTTTCAAATCTCCATTTCTCGAGTCAATAACAAAGCAGAGAGAAAATGATATCTTATATGGAAATAGACCTTTCAGTGTACAAAAGTACATCAGATTTCTATTCGTCAGACGCTTAACTTGAGTTGTAGATTTTCGTACCGTCTGAATAAACCACCACCACCAAAAATTACGCTTGCATTTCTGTTGATTCTTCACTATGGACAGGACGCTCATTCAGAACCAGCTAACTATTTCGTATTATTGCCTTCTATACTGTTATTATTAACATCATACAGTTACAATAACCATTTCATCTGAAAGTATTGTTCTGGGAGGGAATTTGTGTAAAAATTATATGCTAAGAATTCCACACTGTCATACATATTGTCTGGAATAAAGCGATTATTATTATTATTATTATTATTATTATTATTATTATTATTATTACATAACGGAATCACTAACAATTCCCAACCATAAACCTAAACTTTGCAGTCAAAAACATCGCATGCATTTATTAGCCTTACCATAGTCACAGTAATAGTTTCCTTCTGTCTTTAGAAACAGCGTTTTATTCTACTCTTCGAAGAAAATTCATTAACTAGGGAATTGACACTACAGAAACATGTCCATGATATACGCTTTCACAAAAAGTGTGATAATCACCTCAATTATTTATTAGGTATACTCACCTTTCCCACTTTACGAGCACCATACACTCGACAGTAGAAAACTGTTCGTTGTGTTGATCGGCGTATAGCATCTATGCGTTTATGATTAGTGATTATAATAGCTTTTAACAGGTTTTCATTGCCAACAGTCATGCTACCTGAGATTGAGCCTAAATCAGAACGATGAGAACCACCAAACGGTTGAGATCCAGGCACACCGGATGTTTTATGAATCACTGATGATATATCTCGATTGATTCTTTTATTTCCAGTCAATGATGTAATACTATCGAAGGTATTTGTTTCTCCATTCGAAACAGGTGACCATAATGAACCAAGTTCATAATATGTGAAACCCAAATAAGCAAAATATTCAAGTAATCGATTAGGCTCTAAATAAGCTGTTAGGCTTTGGAGGATAGATAGAAAAAAGGGAAGAAACAACGGTAAGAAAGTCACTCATAAAGAACATGCATCTCAAAAGAAGAGATATATGTATGCATTCATCATGGACTGACGTCAGTTGGATGGACATTGGAAAGATAGGAGTACTGGACAGCTGTTTCGTCCCATTAGTACGGGTCCATTCAGCAGCGCACACCCATGACCCCACCTCTCCAAGGATCAAACTCACGACACTCAGGCTCCATGGTCAGAAGGTTACCATTAAGTCACTGGGTCGGAATCTAATGGTCCATATTTTCAACTTCTGTCAGTTCATGACATAGCGCGACCGCCACCCAATGTCATTGTTGAATATTCGTGCTCATGACCACCAGGTTTGCCTTACTGATCATGACTTCTTACTGAAATTTTGGGAATCACCTCTCAAGGCGGAGTGGTGAGTGTGCACTGTTGAAGAGTCCCATAATGGGACGAAACAGATGTTCAATGCTCACAGGTTTCCAACGTTTCCCCCAACTGATGTCAGTCTATGATGAATACCAACTGGAAAAGTTTCTAAATCCCTACAAACCCACAAATTTAATATACGTATGTGCCTACCTGTTTGATAATGCAAATAAGAAATGAATGAAAAAGGTATAATGATAATAATTACACAATCTTGTAGCTCGTTCATATCTTTGTATCATGTCTAATGTATGCACCATAGTAATCCTGTCCACCGACAAATATCAGAGAAACTCAGAAATCATCAGCAGGTTCGCACACTAGACAGTGAGTTACATCTATTTATTGTGAAAGGATTGATGATACTATCATTCTGCTTAAACCTTAGTAGGTCGAGTGAAGTTCGAACTCTTAAACCGATGATCGACAGTCAATTGCCAAAGCTAATAAAGATTGTAGGTAGGTTTATCTTATTAAAAAGTAGCAGTGAAACACAAAAAGAAATAACATTGAATATTCCCATTTAGACATTTAGAAAAACGACTATTCGAGCAAAGAAATATATTCCTTTTCAATTAGGTCTTCATCATGGGCTCTACACTAATATATAGGAGGTTTACAATTTAATCAAATTACCAATCCCATGGTGATGTTTCAGAAATAATGATGTAAATAATCAATAGAGTTACTAAAATTGGAAATATGAATATTGATAGAAACAAGGGAAAGGGGAAGAGATGTACAAAGTAAACCTAGAAGTTACATTATGTTGACGATAATGAAAGTGATGAGTGAGATGAATGGTGAGAATGATGAAAATAAGTAGGGAGGAACTGTGGCTGGCTGGCTGGCTGGCTGGCTGGCTGGCTGGCTGGCTGGCTGGCTGGCTGGCTGGCTGGCTGGCTGGCTGGCTGGCTGGCTGGCAACGAACCAACCAACAACCTATCACCCAACAAATATGCACTGGAAGGAAGTGGAAGTGGAGATGGATTGGGCATACATTGAGAAGACCGAGTTGGGACATCACGCGTCAGGCCAGATGCTTGAGTGGAACCCTGATGGGAAGCGACGAGTTGGGCCTCTGAGGTGATCGTGACATTGAGGAGATGGTGTGAGGAAGAAATGAGAGGTTGTGGGCTGTCATGGAGTCAGGTTGAAAAGATTTCAGAGATCAGAGCGCATTTGAGACGTGCTACTGAAGCTCTGTTTTCCATTCGGAACCCGAGGGACAAATAATAATAATAATTTTGACAGAAAATTCCTTCGTACGATAATCACTTTTCGCCTTCTCTTTGTAGGGCCTCTACGCTGTAAGCTAATTGTCTCAACTAATAACCATACGTCAGTTTCGCTTTAATGACTAAATAATTGGTTGATTCACACTCTGACAGAAAAAGACTGATTGGGCAAAGAAATATATTCCTTTTCAATTAGGTCTTCATCATGGGCTCTACACTAATATATAGGAGGTTTACAATTTAATCAAATTACCAATCCCATGGTGATGTTTCAGAAATAATGATGTAAATAAACAATAGAATTACTAAAATTGGAAATATGAATATTGATAGAAACAAGGGAAGGGGAAGAGGTGTACAAAGTAAACCTAGAAGTTACATTATGTTGACGATAATGAAAGTGATCGAACAAACTTCTTTTGCATACAAAGGCTAAGTTTGTGAAGGTGGATGACAATCGCCTCTGCTATGTAAAGTAACCGAGTGCGTAATCCATGAGGCAAATTAATTAGAATCTGATGGATAATTTTGAAGGCTTTTCTAGTAACCACTTGATATCCTGTGTCAACTAAGTGTGCAAGTATGAAGCTCTTCATAGTTCAAATTTGTCCCTTGTTCAACCATGATGGGTGGTGCTTAGAAATTCGATGATGGAACTGCATCATTGTATGTCCAATGTGACTAGCTCCACAGAAGCAGTTAAATTGATAAATGCACATAGAAGTGGCAGAATTAGGCAGAGAATGCTTTATGCAAGACTCTTTTTTATGCGTTGTGTGATGATCTCACTGGCAATATCACTCTTAAATTTTAGCTTCAAGAAGATTTGAGTCTTAGAAACTGTTGGCATTGTTATCTTAACCCTAGTAATATTTATGTGCTTAGTTACAAACTTGTCTGGGTAGCCATTCCTATTAAGCAGATCATGGATAGTGGTGCACTCTTCCTTTATAGCATCCTCTGAACAAATTAGCTGAGGCACGGTATGCTAAGCATTTCACCTATGCAGTTACCATCAATTTACCTACTTTGATTTATGTAACTAAGATGTAATTAGGATTGTGTAGTTGAGTTTCATACAGAAATAAATAAATTCTGATAAGTGATGGAGTATGATTCAAATCTACAGTGTACTATTCATTGAAAATTGAACAATTTTAAACAATTTTGCCATGATATAAATAAACTTAATTGGTAGTTATGGTGAATATGTGTGAAAAATGAATTAGTTGACCACCTAAAATAAATATAATGTACTTTAGACAAATGAATCTTACTTTCTATAAGAGGTGTACTTATATATATATATATATATATATATATATATATATATATATATATATATATATATATATATATATATGAAAAAAACTATGATGAGTCTATTAGAAACCGAAGGCAGCAACAAATACGAAAAAGCTCTTGAAACAAATTGTAATCAATTGAAAAGGTCTCTGTATAGAGAAAAAACTATGGAAACATCTTCATTTGTACATAATACTAGACAGAAAGTGATGAATACTTCAAGTACTGTAATTAACTGAACTCATATCAAGGAATTTCAGTAAGCGCAATTCTCTTTTGTCATTAAAACGTGTATCCCTAACCCTAAACATGATATTTTACTTGATTATGGCTAGCAGAAGAATCTAGAAGATGCATTTCGTCCTTTTTGGGACTTGACAATATCGAGAGATTTGCATAGATGTTAAACAATTTACTCTGATAAAATAACAGAGAATTAATTACAAGTACATCAACATGAAAAAATAACTAATACATATTGTACACAAGGTGGCGCTATTGTGACTCAATGGTCTGGTGGATAACGCTATAACGTTTGAAGCGATGGGAATGAGGCTTGAGTCTCAGTGGGGTGAAGGTACATCTAGCTGATAAGTCCTAAATAGATCGAAACACATGTCCTAGATTCTTCTGCTAGCCGTAAATAAGTAAATTACCATGATAAATATTCAGGCAATATCGAGGCATCCGCAAAGGAAACTATATGCCGACAGAGGTCGAACAATTCATTCGAGCCAAACAACGGAGAATTACAAATACATCAACGACTAATTAGGCCATAAATTTTGCATAAGACTATCCAAAGTGAGACAAACAATTGTGTTAAATTTAGAAGTAGTATTAATCATGGACTGACATCAGTTGGGGAACCATTGAAAATCTGAGAGAACTGGACAGCTGTTTCGTCCGAGTATGGGACTCCTCAGCAGTATGCACCCACGACTCGGCTAGGGATCGAACTCAAGACCTTCAGGTTTCACAGTGAACGTGTTAACCATTCATAAATTACTGTATAGTGCTCATTAGTGACTTGCTTCCAGATGGATATCAGGAAGCTCTAATGATAAGCCGTGAACTGTGGGGTCAACCAGTCAGAAGTGAAGTGAATGCTAACTGAAAACCTACGGTGATAGTCGCGCTATGTCGTGAATTGACAGAAGTTGGAAATTGTGAACCACTGGAAACCGACCCAGTGGCTGAATGGTTAACGAGTTGGCCGTGAAACCTGAAGGTTCTGAGTTCAGTCCCTAGCCCGGTCGTGGGTGCGTACTGCTGAGGAGTCCCATACTCGGACGAAACAGCTGTCCAGTTCTCTCAGATTTTCAATTGTTCCCCAACTGATGTCAGTCCATGATTAATACTACTTCTAAATTTAACCCAATTGTTTGTCTCACTTTGGATAATCTTATACAAAATACTTGCATAAACAACGTGTGAAAATCAACTAGCATTCATGCACGATGAAGCCAAGAGGAGGTATCAAGTTCTAAGTTATACATTTGATAGTGATAGGCGGTGGAATCTGTGAAGTGTATTGATTTCATGTTGTCTAGTCCTGAGTGCAGACAGAATCCTATCGATCATATTTGCAGTGCGGCAACCAAGATAGAAAGCTCAGCATCGCGGTGCACAGTAGTAGATGCTAGTTGGTTGGAGGTAATCGTCAGGAAGCCAGTTCTACAGGAAGTCAATCGTGGCCCGAATAGCTCAGTGGTAAAGCCTCCGACTACAACACTGGGTGATGCGGGTTCGAGTCTCAGGCGGGACATTAGTTCCGTCGAGGTTGTAGATACGCCTTGCTGACGAGTGCTAAAAATCACGAAACCTAGGTCCACGGCTTCCTGCCGATTGCCTTCAACTAACTAAAATCTGTGAAGTGCACTTCTCCCATTCAAGTGGGAATAAGTTATCTGGTTGTTCTTGTATCCAAGTGTATTGCTGTCTTCACTGACACGAGAATTCAATAACTAGCGATTTAAACGTCAATGTATTATCCACTAGGTTTAAGCAGTATCATCGGTTTATAATTGTGAAGCATTCATTATCATTTTCTAGACAACAGCATAAACTTTTCTCTGAATTTCGTGCCGATAAGGACATATCTTATTATTATTTGTCCCTTGGGTTCCTAGTGGAACATACGGCTCCACTACCATCTCGTCATTTCACTCTCTTCTCTGCAGTCTTTTCAACCTGACTCCATGACTGCCCACAAGCTTTCATTTCTTCCTCACACGATTTCTCCTCCATGTCACCCTTGGATGGCAAATTTTTCGTCTTCCATTTCCGTTCCACTCGACGGCCTAGCTTGACGCATGATATCCCAAAACAGTCTTCTCAGTATATGCCCAATCCATCTCCACTTTCTTCTGCGTATAACACTATCGAAATCCTCCTCCTGGATATCATTGATCTCCTTTCAATAGTGATCTGAATAAATGAATAGAAGAATGCTTGAACGGATGGTTTAGTATAGCGTGTAATCACAACTTGAACCTGTTCACCGTCCTGTCGATCAAAGACAACAATACTAATTCTATTCTTTAAGATAATGGATAAACGCGATCAATGGAACACGAACATAGAGGAAAATAACTAGAGTTAGTTGTCGAACAATAACCTTCATATTGTTTTTATATATAAAAATTAAAAAATCGGTTTTTTCTTTCAACTTACATCCAAAATGACATAAATCCTTGACGTGTAGCCCAACCCATAGGATTTGTTGTCACACATAATCCCATATCAGTCACATAACTTAGATGATCTTCAGGACAAGTGGCAAGCAATTCACTTAATTCTACTGTTGACAAGCATCCATCACGATCCTTTGAAAATGAATACAAAGATGACACAAAATGAAAGTTAGTGGAAAGAAGTAAAACGAAAAGAAGCAGAAATCAATGCAAGTAAAATATAAATAAGAATGACTTGGTAAAAAGTTGAAGCATTGCACCACCATCAGTTTACTGTTGATTTTATTGGGGGAGGGGGGAGGGTTCTCCTGTTTATTTGAAAACTATGTAAAACCTTACTTTGAGAATCAACGTTAAGCAATCGAACAATCAGTTTTCTCGTGATGGCTTTCTCCTCTTCTATAACTGGAAATGTATGTTCGAGAGTTCCATCACTGTTCATTTATCAAGGTGGATAAAGGGAATCATCAGGAAGCACTGCTTCATTTAGGTTTCGCTCTCGCTTTCACTCATCAGTAAGGCCTATCTGCAACTTCAACGGGACTGATGTCCTACTACTCAGTGCTGAAGTCAAAGACGTTACCACTGAGCTGGATTAGGTATACTGATTGGTTACTCGACAGTAACCAACTTCATATTTTCTAGTCCTAAGTTTTGATCAGGATTCAATCGATCACTTTGCAATGTGACCACCAGGCTAGGTGACTCATCATCGCAATGCACTTCAATGTATGTTAGTTGGATAGATCCACCTGTATGTTTGACACTTTCCTACACGACAAAATCACAGAGTTATTAAACTACATACACTAATATGTACAATTCATCATTCGGATACCATGATATTCTACAAAAGAGAAAAAAGTGAGTCAATTCAGAGGTTTGTGGGGATTGATAGATGGAAAGATGTAAATTTAAGAAACCATCGGAAAGCTGTTTCGTCTTGGTATAACAGTGTGCATCCACGATCCTTCAAGGGAGTGCGAAATATTGTGAAGTAATAGAAGTAGGAAAATATGAACCATAGGATTCCAACCAAGTGACTGAATGACAGCATGACAACACCAGGAGATATCATGATCGTAGTTTCGACCCGTGAAGGTGTCATGAATTAGTACTGCCAAGAAGTTACATACTTTGGACGAAACAGTTGTCCAGTTCTTCAAGGTTACTGCTACATGGAAAGCAATAAATCATTTCCTTTATAAAAAAAACACAAATTAGTATAACCAATAAAAATTTTCATCATTCTCTATTGATAAGCTCACAACACTTCATATCTATCAATACAATTCCCTTAGTTTCAAACTTTTCCATTTAACTATTATTCCTATCTGCCTTCTTAATTTTTCTCCCTTTAACACACACACACACACACACACACATACATACGGATGTGTGTTGCATTCAAGAAACACTTTTCTCTAGTTATCTAGGCAGTGATTCAGTTAGTCTGGTGTCAACATACGCATAACACCAAATATTTGGCTAACAGCACATACTTTCAATATCGACATTAAAATAGTTTGTATGCTATACTTGTGCCACAGAAAATTATCATTGGAAAAATTCCAGTCTGTTAAGCAATAATAAGAATAATTCATATACTGAAATCACTACTTTCGAATGAACAACACATTGTATAGTAAACAGAAGTGACTACATTATATTGTAACTAGAAAAGCACTTCAAAATTATTGCGGCGTTTTATTTAGCTCAGTAGATTAGAAACTAGATATCTACTTGATAGAGTATCAATCGGTATAAAGCGTTGCATGACGTATAATACATACTTGGTAACAGTGGAGAATATTTGTAGCTCAGACGGATGGTGTTGGTTGTATTGTGTTCTCTGAGCTGGATTGTTTAGTCGTAAAGCTTTCATTGTCTTTCTAAACAGCGACATCATCAGCACTAACTTCAGTATGAAGTATGACATCATACTTCACGATTAAACAATCCAGCTCAGAGAACATAAAACAACCAAGATAGTTGGTAACACTCAACAGAAGAACGTATTTACCGCCTAGAAGAACTTAATGTTTATTAACAGACTTGAAATGGTGTCATTCAATTCGGTAGTAAGAAAAATCATAACAACAAGTGAACCCTTCAGAGAACTACATTACGTGAATAACTGAAATCTGTGTATGCTAGGCAACGTAGCTATTAAAACCATATGTTAAAAACATTCATAGATATATGGGGTCTAGGATAGATTGTTCGTTGTCTGTCTCTCGACAAAACTCCACAACACACATTTGAGAAAGGGGCAATACGATTTACTAAATGAGAATCAGTGCCCTCAGAGTGTCAACTTTATGCAATCGAACCATTAAATAAGCAATTTTGAGAATAATGGGAAAGATTGTGATCGAAGAAAGCAAATTAGGCGCCTGTTACAGTAACATGATTTCAGAGGCCGGCAGAGAGAGAGGGCAAAACGACTGGTAACTATATAATTAATGGCCTAAAAGTATGATGACCATAGAAAGTAAGCTAAGGATATTCAAATTATAATACATAATATAGTCTTCCATGGAGGCGGTAACTTTTGGTTTCAAATATACTTGTTCAACTCAACAATATGCAATGAGGGAAACTAGTGATGGCGCCATTGATTATTTTACACTCTCCATCCTACTCAATCACTTAGCAAGCTACAAAAATTGGTCATCTGACTGCCACCGAAAGAAATGGTGAAATCCTAAGCGCGCTGATAGAAGTTTATCCAACAAGTTCCCAATCAGAACACACATGAAGTTGGTCAATACTCTAAATCTATTAATCTTTTAGTCTCTAGTCTAAAAATCGAGTGGCAAATTTTCGAATAAACCTACCCACAGCTCGTGAATTCGCCTCTCTGATGAGTGCCAACATGCACCTATCCAAGTTGACGCAATAAATGGCAATAAATGTTGGTGGTCCTTCACAGATTCACCTATGGAAACCTTGTTACGACTTTTACTTCCTTTAAATAGTCAAATTAGGTCATCTTTTCAGCATCAGTCGAGAGCCAAGCCACTTCAACGGCACCAACCCAACGAATTCACTAAACCATACGATCGGTAGTAGCGAGGGGCGGCGAGTACAAAAGGAAGAGAAGTGATCAATGCAAGCTTATAACTTGCACTTATCAAGAATTCCTCCTTCATGGCCGTTCTTAGTTGGTGGAGCATTTGGTCTCGTTAATTTCGATAACTAACAAGATATTAACCTGTTAAGTAGTAGACTAGTCCTCTACACTCGTTCAAGCTCCTATTGCTTCTTTATGGAGTGTAGTCGTTTACCGGCGGGTACGGTGCCACTGTTTGCTATTTAGAAAGACAAACGGCACGCAGAAATCGCACGAAGCTGAGCAATGACATGTCTGTGATTGTATTAGATGTCCAGAACTATACGTTGGCTACAATGTCGGTGCCAGCGAGTCTGGTAACCTGGCCCGAAATGGTTAGGCAAACTGTTTCATCACCGTCGTGACTGGGATCGGGACTTATAATTAATTCCCGTTTACGAAGAATTCCTGATAAGTGCAAGTTATAAGCTTGCATTGATCACTTCTCTTCCTTTTGTACTCGCCGCCCCTCGCTACTACCGATCGTATGGTTTAGTGAATTCGTTGGGTTGGTGCCGTTGAAGTGGCTTGGCTCTCGACTGATGCTGAAAAGATGACCTAATTTGACTATTTAAAGGAAGTAAAAGTCGTAACAAGGTTTCCATAGGTGAATCTGTGGAAGGACCACCAACATTTATTGCCATTTATTGCGTCAACTTGGATAGGTGCATGTTGGCACTCATCAGAGAGGCGAATTCACGAGCTGTGGGTAGGTTTATTCGAAAATTTGCCACTCGATTTTTAGACTAGAGACTAAAAGATTAATAGATTTAGAGTATTGACCAACTTCATGTGTGTTCTGATTGGGAACTTGTTGGATAAACTTCTATCAGCGCGCTTAGGATTTCACCATTTCTTTCGGTGGCAGTCAGATGACCAATTTTTGTAGCTTGCTAAGTGATTGAGTAGGATGGAGAGTGTAAAATAATCAATGGCGCCATCACTAGTTTCCCTCATTGCATATTGTTGAGTTGAACAAGTATATTTGAAACCAAAAGTTACCGCCTCCATGGAAGACTATATTATGTATTATAATTTGAATATCCTTAGCTTACTTTCTATGGTCATCATACTTTTAGGCCATTAATTATATAGTTACCAGTCGTTTTGCCCTCTCTCTCTGCCGGCCTCTGAAATCATGTTACTGTAACAGGCGCCTAATTTGCTTTCTTCGATCACAATCTTTCCCATTATTCTCAAAATTGCTTATTTAATGGTTCGATTGCATAAAGTTGACACTCTGAGGGCACTGATTCTCATTTAGTAAATCGTATTGCCCCTTTCTCAAATGTGTGTTGTGGAGTTTTGTCGAGAGACAGACATCGAACAATCTATCTTAGATCCCGTAAACATTTGATTTGCTTGGGAAAAAAAAATACGAGGTCGATTCAACCTTTTTACGGTATGTTCGTTTGATTTCAATGATCCTACCAGTATATATTATAATTTCGTTTAACAAACAAGAAAATGTAATTACAGTACTTCATGATTATCATTTCCCCTCCTTTTAAACATCAAAAACCAATGAGAAATTTCTGGGACTCACCAAGTCATACTTGTTAAAGAGTGTGTTTAAAAACTGCATGCCAACCGAAGAAATTTCTGTACTGCAGCCAGGTGAAATACAGAATCTGTACAAGTAAACATTTTAATTACACAAATGTAGGTTTAATTTACAAGATGATGATAAAGGAACAGAAAATAAAACCAAATTTGATGAATAGATCGGGGATTGTATATTCAAGTTTAGAAGTAATGAATAGTAATTTTCCGAGCTAATATTGCGAAAAGATAAGTGTAAGACAACCAAGTTTATCGTTTTTGAAGTTGGGATTCACTGATTTACGCGTTCATCTTCAAATTTATAGGTAACGAAGTAGCATCTCACCTATAACCCTTGGGATTTTAACCAGTGGGGTAGCATCCTTAACCACCACACAAAATATATAAACAAGTGACAGATGCATGGCAGACAAATAGAGATGAAATCAAGATAGAACCTCATATAAAACACAAGTCGGTAAAAAGTACCAAAAATGAGGTAGAAAAAAGTGTACGAAAAGAAAGAGGAGGAACAAATGAAGGTTCATGAGTGTTACGTCTACGCCATTATGATCAATTTACTAGCAATTTCACTAAGAGTACGCAACTGTTGATTCCTAATGCCCTAAAGAGAACACCCAAGACGTCTATACCTCCCTACATACCTTAGACCTACAGGAATATATTTCATGGACTAGTACCCTACATGTCATTCAGACTACAACCAGCCTGATTCCACTATACTCTAATCTAGACTAGCAACACACGTCGAGATAGACGGCTGTTCAAAATGCACACATATGCCCAACATACGCTCAGTCGTTGAAGACTAATACAACCTCTCATCAACTGACTTATCTTATCTGCCTAGTATCTGTCACCTTACCTCGATAATGTTCGCATACGAATTCCACCATATGTGAACTATGCTACGAAGACATTTGTGGTTGAAACCTGTAATTTCTCTATATCTTCTGCTTCAAACGGAGACGTCTAGCAGCCGTATAAGATGATCGTAGTGCAGTATAATCCTAAATTAACAGGTAGTGGATACTTCATCGATGCCAGAGAAGACGTAAGTAGGCAAGTGCTATTCAGGTCTTCTATGTCCCTACATCAGAAACCAACGGATTCGCTTGCTATTACTCCTGAAGTAAGTGAAATGGTCCACACAGTCTAAAACTTCCCTTTTAGTAGTGAAGCATCATTTTACATCTAAGAGATGAGAAACGCACGCGAAACATACTCAGATTTCTGCTCAAATTGCTCAAAAGATAACACTCTTCAGTGTTTTCGCCAACCAAAACTATGTCATCTATGTTTTTCAAGACAGCTGAATGCACTAAACTTTGTAAGTTAATCTTTGAAGAGTACGTGTTACCTAAAGTAACATCCATTAGCGAATCTATCACACTACTATAAAGGAATATCGGCAGTAAGCATCCGTGACCGCCACCACTGGTTATTGTTAATGACAACTCTCCATAACCCCTTACGCAGATGTGTGAATTCGAGGGGAGACCTTTGACTAGAGTTACACGCTCCTTAATACCTTCTTCATAGTGAGACACTGTCACACCACCTATCAGTAGTCAGAGTCAAATCCCGCTTTCAAGTCAAGAAATACCACAAGCGTCGGTGACCGACAAGTATGCCTGTGTTCAATAACCTAACGAAGGGTAAAGAATGACCGATGAAACCAGGCCTAAAACTTGCCTGGTTTTCTCAAGTTTGTTGTTCTCGAGCTCCAGTTAGATTACCTTCTAACCCAATCCGTTGGTAGTGATAATGGTTGTGACTGTGATCCTGTGTTATTAGTGAAACGACAAATAAAGTTGATAGGACCAACAGTACCTTAGTTGCATCACCCAGCATGTATTGCCTTTGCAGAAAGGTATGAACTGATTGTATTCTCAGGAGTAGTGGAAGACAAAACTGTGACCTAAACTTCCAGCTGCCTATACACTGGAATTTGTTTCTACGAGGTGTCTTAAAGAGAAAATGGATTCGTTTTGTGTAATCGCACAGCTTCTGGGAGATACACTTGAAGTCAGTCGAACACAGTCTTTTTTTAATCGCACTGCCACCGGCACCGGAAGACCGACTACAACGCAGAGAGGAGTAGTATGCTATTTTGGAGGTTGACATTTCTTTCCATCCCTTCTCTTACAGGGAGGGCAGTATTAACATGAACTGCGGTTTGTCCACGGGAAACATCCTATTGCTAACAACTCTGATCCAGCCAGTAGTATGACTACACAATCGGACCTCCATTATGTCGTAGCTGTTTACATTAAAACGGTTACTGCATTTTGCTTTTTTGATCATTGCGTCGTTTCATAAGAATCCTTCAGACATAAAATGACTAGATGCAAGTATGATGATGGATTAAATCTCCTACTAGTTTGTCTTAAGGAGATTCATTGGTGATGGTAATAACTGTTGGCGACATAGGTAAATTGCTAACAAAAAATGAAGTCAGAGACTACCAGACTTTGACTATAAGAGCTACCAGTTGACAGACCGATTAACCATTCAGCATGAGATATACAATCCATAAGAATGAGTTCCATTCTTTAACTCACTATACACCACAAGAGCTTTAGAAGTCCAATACACATGTTATTTAGTCAAAACACTTTTCAGGATAATGAATTCACCAGACAGCTATATCCGATACAAACATTGAGATCACTCAACATACGGTCTTATATGAAGATATTAAAAGGCTTGAATGTCTTCTAAAGGTTCAATGAAACGCCATAGAAGCTTATTATGATGATCATATCAACCTCACCTGGTTAACTAGTTCACTAGTTACTAGACGGTCCCAAGCCCGGATAAAGAGGGAATGTTGCGCATAGAGTTGGCAACCCTACCCCGGAAAACCAATCCAACCAACCGCTTAAGAAACTTCAAAGCACAAGAAATTATCAAAAATAAAAATAAACTTATTCCTCGCTGGAACCCGAGAGGCGAAATGACGCCAGTTGGTGAAAGCCTCCAAGAAACCAGTCTGCCGATGTGTCTTCTCTCTCTCGATGAAAGCGAAAGTAAACATGGGGACATGGAATGTCCACACCATGTCTGAACCTGGCTGGAAGGGCTGCCCAGATTGCAAAACAGAGGAGGCGCCATGGCATGGAGTGCTTGGAATCTACGAAGGCAGATGGAATGGAATTTAGACTCTCCAAACTCTTAACTGGACAGTCAGTAATCTATCCCGATATCGTCACCCAGACGACAACCAAGAGCACACAGAGGGAGTGGCTATCATGATGTCCACAACAGCACCAAGGGCTCTCATGCAGTGGGAACCAGTTACCTCCTCCAGCATCAGGATCATGACAGCAAGATTCACCTCAAAAGGAAGGAAAGTCACAATCATTCAATCCTACGCTTCGCACCTATAAATACGCAGACTAGGAGAAGAAGGAATTTTATAGACAACTGCAATCAGTAATAGATAAGACTCCAGTTGGAAGCATCAAAATTGTAATAAAAGATATGAATGCCAAACTGGGAGCAGACAATACAGGAAGAGAACTCATCAAGTGGTCTCTTTCACCTACCCACCTTCCTAGGCAGCATCGTTTCAACTACAGGCAGCACAGGCACAGACGAGGATGGTAAAACCAGGATCGGAAACACAGCAAGACAGGTTTTCACTAATCTGAAATCAATGTGAAGATCTAATGCACTGCACTCAGCAAAAAGAACAAGATCCGGATTTTCAACACCAATGTCAAGTCAGTGCTGCTGTATGGTTCAAAAACTTGGCGTGTCACGAAAAGCACTTACAACAAACTACACACACTCATCAACAGTTGCCGCCTACGCTTACTCGTTACTGAAGATCAGATGGCCAAAAAGAATAAGTAGCAAGGCGACGAACCAACCAAGAACCTATAACTCAACAAATATGCAGAAGAAAGTGGAGGTGGATTGGATTGGGCATAAACTGAGAAGGCCGACTGAGGACATCACGCGCCAGGTCAGGCCGTCGAGTAGAATCCGAAGGGGGAAACGACGAGTTGGGCGTCCGAGGCGAGGGTAATATAGAGGAGATCATGTGAAGAAGAAATGAAAGCTTGTGGGCAGTCGTGGAGCAAGGTTGAAAAGACTGCAGAGAACAGAGTGGAATGGAGGCGTGCTACTGAAGCCCTATGTTCCACTAGAAACCAAGGGGAAAATAATAATAATAATCATATCAGATCCTAGAGGTGGTTGAAGATATGTTACAGAGAAATCGTCATTGACTAGTCATATTTAAGTAACACAACGTTTGATGAAAGCGAATATCAATATTATCCTATCACAAACTAATCACAAACACCTTCGCTGGATAAATGTAACGAATTATCTAGTGTCTAACTGACAACCAACTTCAGTAAAACAGATTTTCAGCCAGTAAATGCAGTTTATAAAGTCATTCACAGTCATAATGAAGAAAAGAATATTCAAAAAAAGGAAGTAAGCTTGTTTCGAAGATAAATGGATTTCGGAACATATAAATATTTAGGTTCCGTAAACAAAAATAGTTTTGTTGCTTGTATTATACCATCGTTGATTGGACCTGGATTCCACTGCTAGCCACTGTACAACTTAACTATAACTAGAACACAGTTATATCGAGGCATCAGCACAGGAGCCCATATGCCAACAGAAGCCGATCAATTCAGTCCAATCAATGACAGTATAAAACAAGCAATAACACTAAAAATTTACCCGTCGCACAAGAAGTGGCTATCGTGGCTCGGTGGTGTAGTGGATAACGCTGTCGTGTTTCAAGCGATCGCTCCCGAGTCTGAATCTCGATGGGAACAACATCACTCACTAGGAGGCAGGTACATCCAACTGACGAGTCCCAAATAGTACGAAATGCGCATCCTGGATTCCACTGCTAACCACTATCCATCTTTACCAAAAATAAATAGACTGACTTAATGATGTATGAATATCCAAGAGATGACTATAATAGCTATTTTGAGGAGCACAACTTTAAACCGTTGATCCACTGACTCGAAATTTACACCATTTATATAACTTTCGAGAGCAAAATATTAGAATCACTAACTAGCATAGCATTGGAACCATGTGTCATGGAATCACGTCACTAAATTAGAAGCTATATGAAGAGTCTTAAGTAGAGGAGGCAGGTCAGTTGACACGGTTCTAAGCCTTCATCGACTCAAATGACTAAGATATAGATCATACATCTGTAGTCAGCAGCTGCTCCGTTGCACTTTATAAGCTGAAGTACTTTCAGGCTGGAAAATAGTCAAAGGTGGCCAAACTAAATTATGGCACCGGACCACCTGTTTATCTATGGGGCGTGGCTATTAGGACCGTTAAGCAGGAATACCAAGGTCTCATATTGGCTGACGGACTAACTGATAAACACCATACAATGCCTGTCTACTAAACGATTAATGAAGCTGCTCGAATATTATCGAACGTTTTCCATCAGAATACCTTATCACACCCCACTTGAGGTTGCAGTTCATTGGTTTAGGCCGTTAACTTTTCGAAAAATAGGATTCAATGACAAAATCAACGCAGAACCTGGTGCACACGTGCATCAGCTTAAGGTAGTACACACAGAACAGGTGGACAGAAAAAGACCGACAGCAGAGTAAACAAAGTTGTGTGAAAGAATAAACAATTTGTAGATAACGGTCGGTGCGAGTATTTCAGCTTTAGAAGATGTCGAGCAGTGAATACATCTGCGCCACCAGCACCGATCTTCAGTCGTGTCACCAACAGTCTTCAATCACTGATTCCTTTTGCCTCCATGACCCCAAGCAGGCAGTTTACATCTCCCCAACAGGACTCACACCAACAGTAAGAGACTTCGTCGACTGGTGCCACGTATAGGTCCGCTTATCCTGAACCACCTTCCAGCTTAATCCATCTTCCAGCACGACACGTCGAGGTAGGTGGCGGTCGGTATAAGCAAGAGATGTTCAAGTCATTTCAGTCGACAAAAATTCACAACTTCATCAATTGATCTGGCTGTCTTGCCTAGTATCCTTCACCTGACCTTAACACTACTCACACGGAGATTTCACCAAACGTGAGCAATGCATGGAAAATAACTGTGATCAAAACTCAGTAATTACATCATGTTTTCTACTTTTAACGGTCACATATCACAGCCGTACAACATGACAGAACAGACTGCAGCGCAGTATACTCGTCCTTTGATAGACTGCCAGAGGTCTCGCCAGTTAGCGTCACAGATGACCCCAGTTGGAAAATGCCTGATAGAACTTCTGTATACAGGCCAAGATTTCGTTGGCGAACAGCCCGCTCGGGCTGATGCAACTCGCTAAGTAAGTGAAGTGGTTGACACATTCCACCACTTCAATCCTAATCACTGAACTAAGAGTTCTTGCAGCAGACCAGTCCTGCAGCATCACCTTGGTTATGTTCATTAGTACGTCTAAACGAAGTTAAATAGGAACGGCGACAGTGAACATCCCTCCAGGACACCATTAGTTGTCGTCAACTCACTTGAATACTCTCCAGAAGTCATTAGACGGCTGCGTGAGTTCGAGTATAGAGCCTTGATTAGCGTTATATACTTTCTGGTTACATCTTTCAGTGAGATACTGCCATAACACCTCACGATCGACTGACTAAAATACCGCCTTCAGGTCCACAAATATGTTAGGCGAGTGTCGACCGCGGATATGTATGTGTTCCAGTAAGGGTTGAGGGGTGTAAATATGGTCGATGCACACTCGTTCAGGTTTAAAACCTACCTGATTTTCTCGAGCTCCAAATAGGCGACGGATAAATATGAACATTTCGATCTTGAACACAATTTTTGTCAAACTCATCCCCTTATGGTCGTCACAAAAGGACTTCTCTCCATACTCATAAACTGGGTAGATCAGTGAAGTACACTAGTCTGACCACGCTAACTCTGATTCCCATACACTGTAAAGTACTTGTCTTATTTCGATTAAGAATTCACTACCTCCATCCTTGAAAACATCAGGTGGAAAACTATCACGTTCTGCCACCCTGCATACTATCACGTTCCATACACACTTCTCAACTTAAACGACAGTTCCACGACAAACATCTACATACCATTCAGGTTAAGGCTGTATTTCGACCAACTGAAGCGTTGCTAACAGCCAGTTGAACCATGTTTCAAAATGTTTTCCCCAACGTTCTATCCACCTGTCCTCAAAGGTTATCAACGTACAATCCTTTTTCCTCATGGTCCCACTATCTATCATCTCCTCCCCAATATCATCAATAAGCCTTAATAGTTATCGGGTGTCATCTAACGCTGATAACTTCTCCATCTCTTCGCTTTCACCACCCACCGATGTTCGCCATCAACGCGAAGACTCTTGGTCAACTTATGTTTTAGTTGATTCAGCTTTTCATCCTGGTCACAACTAGCTGGAATCAGTTTTCTCGGATCAATCAATTTGGATAACATCGTGGAAATCTAACGACGTTTGCTAACCTTTGGATGTAGGTTTCCACTTATCCTTACCACTGTTTCTACATCAAACTTCATAACACACCAAGATTCCCCTAGGTTGAGCATTGCAATCACATTCAGACAAACGCTTAAAAAATTTCTCTGTAAATGCATATTTGGCATCTTTATCTTCCAATCGAGTACAGATAAGCTTCACTGCCACACTTGGGTCCTGTATACGTGTCTTAGAGACACAGAATACTGTTCCAAACATCGTTTTGCCTACAGAAGTTTTATCATCATCGTCATCAATATCAAAATAGGACCAGGCATTGGCTTTTGCCAATTTGCGCCACCTATGGCGCCGCCGTGATATCCGATTTCTATTAAGGGTCGCGTGTACTGCACAGCAGTCCGCTCTGTTCTACTGTATGGCTGTGAAACATGGCCATTGAAAGAGGAGGATACAAAAAGGCTTCAGGTGTTTGACCACAGTTGCCTGCCTTCGCAGTATAGGCCTTGTTTCGTGGTGTCACCATGTGAGTAATGCAGAAGTTAGATGTAGAGTTTTGGGGAGAAGAGGTAAGTCAGTTGACGAGGTTGTGATCCTTCATCGACTGAGATGGTTGGGACACGTACTACATATGCCTAGTCACCGATTGCCTCATCACACAATGTTGGCTGAGGTGGGTTCAGGCTGGAAAAAGGCTCGAGGTGGCCAGACTAAAACATGGTACCAATGTATGAAGTCTCTGACTGTTGGTTTAAGCCATGTGGGGGGATGCAGACTAGGTGGTTGGGGTCCACGGGACAAGAGGAACCAGTGGTTGGAGACCCTAGGTGATATGGCTCAAAAACGATGTCAGTGACGCAGATGTATACACACATTATCCTCATCTTAACGACGCTATACCGAATCTCACCATTTTGTCACTCCTCTTTCCTTTCTTCTCGTACTTTATATTTCTTTTGACTGCATTCACTTATCTTCATCCTTCGCCTCACTACCTTTTTACTTGATGTGCTGATATGAGGTGTGGCAACTCGGACCGTTACGCAGTAATGCCTGGTCCTATGTTGATAATGATGATGATGATGAACCAGGCATTACTGCGAAACAGTCCAGGTTGTAACACCACATGTCAGCCCATCAAGTAACATAGCAATAAGACGAAGGATGAAGAAATAAATAAAAATCTGTCAAAAGTAGTAGAATGCAGTAAAAGATAGGAAGGAGGAATGAGAAAATGCAGAATTTAGTACAGCGTTTAACATGAAGATAAAGTGAGAATACATCTGCGCCACTGACATGGATTCTCAGTCATATCACCTAGAGTCCTCAACCAATGGTTTTTGTTGTCATCTGGACCTCAACCAAGTATTATGCATCTCCCTACATGTCTCAGATCAACAGTCAAAAACTTCAAGCAATGGTGCCATGTCTTAGTCTGATTGCCCCGAGTCTTTTTCTTCCCTGAATCTACTTCAGCTAGCAGTGTGCAACTAGGCAGACGGTAACAAAGCATGCGTAACACACGTCCCCCATCTCAATCGACAAAGGTTTCCAACTGCATCAACTGACTTTCTTCTGCTCCCAAAACCTCTGTCTGCACCTGACTTCATTATTCACGTAGTGACACCACGACACATGACGTATACTACGAAGACAATGGTGGTCAAACACCTGAAGCCTTCTCATTTCCTTCAGCTTCAATGGCCATGTTTCACAGCCATACAGTATAACAGAGCGAACTGTAGTGCAGTACACTAGACATCTAATAGGCAATCGGATATACCGACGGCGCCACAGATGGCGAAAGTCAATCGATCCTTTTGTATCCGGGTGGTCAGGTAGTATCATTAACTTTCTCACAATAGTTGTGTGGCTCATTGCCTACTGCACAACTTTGCACAAGGTTGTAAAGAACATATCCATTTTCCGACTTATTTAACTCTGTAATGTACATTCTCCCATCACATCGCCAGGAAAACCATTTTGAAGTCAGTTACAAATGAATGTTGGATTATTACTTAACTTGCTGATGGAATACTAATCTATGACACTGGACAATTCCAACAGTGGATCAAGAATCAATTGAGTCTAAGAAATGTAGCGTACTGAATCGTAACATTGTTATGGAGCACTGATGCAAACTGAAAAGCTATCTGAATGCTCTAAGATTAACTTCATGAGTGCGCATCACTGTAAAACTGAAAATCAGCAGTTTTATGAAAAATCTTAATACATATTTACACATAATATACAACAAGAAAAAAGTCGGTATTATAAAATTATTAACATACTTAGGATAAAGAAAATCTTCAGATAATCGCATATGATTACCATAACCGAATCGACGTAGTACTGTCCATGTTGTTTCATGGCGTCCTCTTTGTACAAACATTAAATGCAGGAAAAGAAAGCCTAAAACAAAATATTTTTTTTTAAATCGAAGGAAGAAATAGTCATTTGGTGAAAATACTCATCAAGTATATAAGAACTACTGAGAATACCTCTGACTGACAAGACTGGAAAAGGTGAAGTGGTCTCTAGTGTATAACTCATTCGGTTACCAGTCATCAGTTACTCGGTGCAGGCCTCTTAAAAATAACTTACAGTTTATCTTTGAAAAATACAAGTGGGTGTGTAAACTTATGTTAAATGACAAAAATATATCAAAGTGTTTTTAAACAGAGATATATGCCAGCTGAGACCATCAGACAGTTGTTTCTTTCCAATCTCAGCTTCTTAATTACTTTGTATCAAAAACTGATAATCTTTCGGTTTAACCGAACCAGGAAAGAAGACAGACCGCCATCGATGACATCGGACAATAGTCGAGCTATATTGTGAATTCATCCATCAATCCATCTAAATCAACATACTACCAGACATTACTGTGTAACGGTCCAAGGTGTCATACCTCATATCAGTACATCAAGTAAAAAGGCAGTGGAGTGGACGATGAAGAAGAAAAGAAAATTCAGTCAGGAGAAATATAAAGTACTAAAAGAGAGAAAGGAAGAATGAGAAAACAGTGAGATTCAGTATAGTGTTAAGATGAGGATAATGTGTGTTGGGATACATCTGCGCCACTGACATCAGCTCTGAGTCACATAGTACTAATTCATGACACCTTCACGGGTCGAAACTACGACCATGATGTCTCCTGGTGTTGTCATGCTGTCATTCAGTCACTTGGTTGGAATCCTATGGTTCATATTTTCCTACTTCTATTACTTCACAATATTTCTCACTCCCTTGGAGGATCGTGGATGCACACTGTTATACCAAGACGAAACAGCTTTCCAACGGTTTCTTAAATTTACATCTTTCCATCTATCAATCCCCACAAACCTCTGAATTGACTCACTTTTTTCTCTTTTGTAGAATATCATGGTATCCGAATGATGAATTGTACATATTAGTGTATGTAGTTTAATAACTCTGTGATTTTGTCGTGTAGGTAAGTGTCACACATACAGGTGGATCTATCTCTCGAGTAGATGACGATAGCACAGAAAATAGGCGGGAATGATGTGAAAGTATACTAAGAAACATATAGTCAAAGAAATGAAGCAATAAAGATTAATATAGTGTTATTGATTGGTACTCATGTAGTGTCACGTGGGTAACGTCAGAAATGCAGAAGTCAGGCCCAGGTGCAGAGTTTTAGGGAGGGAGAAGAGATAAATCAGTTGACGTGGTTATGAACCTTCATCGATTGATATATTTGGCTCCGAAATGTGTTACGTATGTCTAGTCGCCGTCTGACTCGTCACACAATGTTGGCTGAAGTAAGCTCAGGTTAGAAAAAGGCTAGAGTTGACCAGAATAACACATGGCATCAATGTATGAAGTCTTTGACTATTGGTTTTAGCTATGTGGGGCAATGCATGAAAAGAGAAACTAGTGGTAGGAGACTGACTCTAGGAGATGGTCCCACCCATCTTTGATTGTGTGCGCACACAAATGAAGAAAAATAAAGTCAGAGAAAACAGTTGTTCATAGTTGTCAGGTTACTAATAGTTCTCCAATGGACTCTTAAATCTATCGACACAATTTTGAAATCAATCAGTTCTCGAAACTCTCCAAATGACAACAACACACTTGTAAGTATGAGAGAAATAAGCAACTACAAACACCGTCTAAGATCCAGACAGACAATACTTGGAATGGTGGGAAATATTAGTAGCTCAGGAGGATGGTCATAGATGTATTGTGTCCTCAGATCAAGTGACAATAGAACTGAAGTAGACATGTTCAATGCTCATGACTTTGATAAAAATAAACAAACAAACGCTGTAAACTACCCTTGAAAGCAAATAGAATAAGATAGAATAATAAGTCAACAAAATACCTGTCATAATGAAGAAGTTTTCTTCTGGCGCCCACCACAGAAAATTATTTAAATACTACCTGGACATGTTGCTTGCTTAGCATATGGCAAACAGTCTATACATTGGTCTAATTCCAAGTATTGACCGCTTTCTATCGATCACTCCCTACAATATGGACACCAAGTTAGGAGAAACACGATTGCGATGCACTTAAAGACAATCAATAAGAAGCCTTAGACCATCTAGGTTTCGTGCTTGTTGACACTCATCAGTAGACGTTGACCCGATCACAGGTGAATTTTCTTTAGATCTAGAATATGCAGATGATATAGTGCTGTTAGGTGAAGACGCTGATAAGATGCAGTCTTCTGAACACTTTGAGTGGGAATTTGAGAATGTTTGGGATGCGATTTTCACCACCCAAATGCAAATTTTTGCTCCAGGACTGGTCTTCAGCGGTACCGCGGTTAACAATAGAGAGTGAAGTGTTGAGTGTGTTGACCACTTCACTTACCTGGGAAGTAGGATCAACCCTGGTGGGTTAGTTGCCGATGAGATTTCGGCACGGATACAAAAGGCTCGATTGACTTTTGCCAATTTGCGCCACCTATGGCGCCGCCGTGATATCCGATTATCTATTAAGGGTCGCGTGTACTGCACAGCAGTCCGCTCTGTTCTACTGTATGGCTGTGAAACATGGCCATTGAAAGAGGAGGATACAAAAAGGCTTCAGGTGTTTGACCACAGTTGCCTGCCTTCGCAGTATAGGCCTTGTTTCGTGGTGTCACCATGTGAGTAATGCAGAAGTTAGATGTAGAGTTTTGGGGAGAAGAGGTAAGTCAGTTGACGAGGTTGTGATCCTTCATCGACTGAGATGGTTGGGACACGTACTACATATGCCTAGTCACCGATTGCCTCATCACACAATGTTGGCTGAGGTGGGTTCAGGCTGGAAAAAGGCTCGAGGTGGCCAGACTAAAACATGGTACCAATGTATGAAGTCTCTGACTGTTGGTTTAAGCCATGTGGGGGGATGCAGACTAGGTGGTTGGGGTCCACGGGACAAGAGGAACCAGTGGTTGGAGACCCTAGGTGATATGGCTCAAAAACGAGTCAGTGACGCAGATGTATACACACATTATCCTCATCTTAACAACGCTATACCGAATCTCACCATTTTGTCACTCCTCTTTCCTTTCTTCTCGTACTTTATATTTCTTTTGACTGCATTCACTTATCTTCATCCTTCGCCTCACTACCTTTTTACTTGATGTGCTGATATGAGGTGTGGCAACTCGGACCGTTACGCAGTAATGCCTGGTCCTATGTTGATAATGATGATGATGATGATGAGTAGAGCGTGTCTGTAACCACAACGGAACTCATATCCCATTCGCGATTCGAATTCGTGTTAAAATTCAGCTATTCAGGCCACTGGGTAACATAGATTCGAATCTCAGGCAGGATAGCACTTCCCTTAAGGTTGCAGATACACCTGGGTGACTAGTGCCAACAAGCACGAAACTTAGGTGGTCCAGGGCTTCCTATCGATTGTCTCCAACCAACTAACATGACAAACAATCAAATAAATACTTTGACTACTGGACTTCACAACGGTAAAGAAACATTAGTAGAGAGGAAATAAATGAAAAAGGATTAATTAATCTATCGAATATTACGCAGTGATTGTGACGCCAAGTATACAGCTTAAAGCAGCCTTTCAGAGTCAGTCAGAATTGAGAAGCTCAAGAATTCAATGAGGTATACAGTGGACAGATCCTATCAAGAGATAAGTAATCTAGAGAAAAACTGGGCTGTCTTTCTGCATAATCACACTATCCGGGATGGGATAGCTAGGTGGAGGGAGACATCGATCACAAAATCTTCGCTCATTGAATCAACCAGCATCTAACACATGAAACAGGAATGACTCATCATCATATATTTCAGGTATCTGGAAAATTCCGCTACCATTAAAATACAAGAATGAAGTATCATTGGACTATATAAGTGAAGTATGAAAGTTGTATGATAACCTTTGCATGAATATAAACAATAAATTCTGCTCAAAACGTCACTCAATAAATAACAATGTATCCTTACGTGCTGACTATATCAAATAAACTATCTAATATGAAGTTATACTCTACGACAGCGCCCAAGTTTTACTCTTACACGAAAGAGGTACGCAGCAATCATGTATGGATATAGAAGGATGACATCGGAACCATAGTAGGTGATTTTGAGCAATTCTATCGCCATTCTAAAACAATTGGTTTCCAGCATCAAGTGAGAACTATCTAGTCAGATGTCTACAACTTTCCAACAAACAGTTTAAGGCTAACAGTCCATGATTTCGAAAATTTGCCATTATAAGTTGCTTCGATGACTATTAGCTTTCTCCTAGTATAATCTTACTGGAGTTACCATGGCATATTCACAGAAATGATGGCTCAAGTACATGTTACCGAAAAAATAAGACAAACATTTATCATTATTTATCATTAATCTCTTGCGTTCTTAGTGGAACATACGCCTTCACTACCACGTCGCCACTTCACTCTCTTCTCTCCAGTCCTTTCAACCTGGCTCCACCACTACCCAGAAACTTTCATTTCTTACTCACACTCTCTCCTCCATATCATCCTCACCTCGGACACACAACTCGTCGTTTCCCCTTTGGCTTCCACTCGAGGGCCTGACCCGGCCTGACTTCACGCGTTATGCCTCCAAACAGTCTTTTCAGTCTACGTCCGATCCAATCCAATCCAATCCATCTTCACTGCCTTCTGCATATTTGTTGGGCGATGGGTTCTTGGTTGGTTGGTTCGTTGCCTGCCAGCCAGTCAGTCAGTCAGTCAGTCAGTCAGTCAGTCAGTCAGTCAGTCAGTCAGTTAGCCAGCCAGCCAGATAGATAGACAGACAGACATACTCCAGAGTTCCTCCCTACTCATTTTTATTATTTTGGCCACCCATCTCACTGATCTTCAGTGTCAGTATCAAGTGAGAGTAGGTGGTAGCTGTTGGTTGATGTATGTCTGTAGTTTGTTGGAAATGCTTTTCGTAACACCCCAAGTCTGTCAACCATCACACAGAAGCACTGACTGACTTGACTGACTTAGTGTTGAAAATCCGGATGTTGTTCACGCTTTATGCTGAGTGGAGTGGAGTGGAGTGTAGTGGAGTAGATCTCCACACTGACTATTTCACATTAATGAACGAAGGTTTGTCTTATTGTCATTATACGTCCACTGGAGTCAAACACCCCAACAGATAATGATCCTCTATCCCTAATTAATTATCTTAAAAATATACCTAAGAGTTGACAATCGATTTCGAAGGATGAACATTAGTTAAATAATCATTTCATTATCGTTGACAAGTATTCAGAACGGCACCAAAACCCAATGTAACATAATACAAAGCACGTCGTAAATGTCTAGTTATTTTGGTGCACTGAAGATCCCTTGGTTACGGATTGATTACAAGAAATAATGGAACATTAAGAAATTTGAATGGAATAATCTGTCAGGTGAGTTTAATAAAGTTTTGAGAGAATGAATATGCGGAAGTAAACCTATCAGTCTTCAGTGTTAACAATTGCAGCGGGAATGTTAATCAACATTGAAAAAGAAGTCAGTGAGTCATGTACTGTTCTCTTATGCAAAACAATCAGGAATCATAATCCAATTCAACTGGATACAAATTTATGCACTAGTTGCTATGACCCACATTTCTCCTGTGACAGCGTGGCACTTAGACCAAAGCAGGCGGAGTGAACTATGAACCCCGAGATAGATAACTTGAAATACCAATTTTCCGCCAATGAGCTAAACAGATCTCTATTGTCTAGTGGGAAAAACAAAGGTCGAGGAATTCAACCAAGTATAGCAACAGGAGAACATAAGTATCGAACAACATCTGATATCTGTTACACAAAAGACGATTCTCGTGCACCAATGACCTAGTGGATAACGCCGGAAATGATGGATGCTGTATTCAATCAGCCATCTTGTGCACATCTGTGCAGTAGGTAATGAGTCACATCTACTGTGTGTGACTGGTAGTGGTACTACTTGGCTACCCAAACCTTAATAGGTGGAGCGGTGTTCGAATCCACAGCCCAAAAGCTGAAAGTCAACTCCCTGAACCAACGACTAACAACTCTGTACTGTGTTCAAGTCTTAATGGGAACAGCATGACTGATACTTTTCAAATAGGGCGAAACGCACGTCAAGCTGAATTCCCCTGCTAGACAACTAGCCTAAAAATAAACATATACAAGTATAAGTCAGTAAGAAAAATAATAAACATAACTAAAGATTTGATTAATACACTAACCTTTCTGTGTTAATCCATTTAGTGTAACACCACCGGGACAGGATTGTTTCACCAACTGTTTCACATCACGTAATGATTGAGCAGTTAGCGGAATAGAAAAACAACGTGTTTGAAATGCTTCCAATTCACGATCTGATAAATAACCATCATTATCTATATCGCATATTCGAAATATTCTTGTCAGTGCACGGATACACTCTGGTGTAAGCTATTATACACATAAATAGAAGAGGAGAAAAATGTACAACGCATAAACAGTAGCATTTAAACCATGTGTAGACAAATTGAAAATTGAATTCAATTTTAATGTCTAGTTAGTTTTTTCTGCCGATTAGAAGAATGGCTACCTTGTCAAACTCCCAAAGAAGTCATTGCAAGGACTGGAGCGGAATCCTGCTCTTGTCCACCCCAAGCAAAATATTAGGCCACATTATCCTAGAAAGACTACAAAATACTCTGCATTCAAAATTACGACCGGAACAGGCTGGCTGATTTCAGGAAAATCAAATCACGTGCGGATCGAATTGCAACGCTACGCATCATCATAGAACAGAGAATAGAATGACAATCAACTCAACGTCAAATTCATCGACTTTGAAAAGGCCTTCGACAGAGTCGGCCGAGAAATAATTTGGCAGGCGGTTGCTTAAGCACTACACTTTAGTAACACAAACCCATTCAACAGCAGCTTTATCCTATGTGACGACACTACATGCCAAGTGATTCACAATGGAGAGCTCAGTGGTGCGTTTAAAGTGAAGATAGGGGACAGGAGTAAGACAAGGCTGCTACCTACTATCACCAACGATTTTCCTGATTGTGATCGACTCGATTGGATTGGACTGGATCATGCAACAAACTGTGAAGAGTTGTGAGAAAATGGGCATAGGCTAGCTAGACCGATGAAAAGACCCTAGAAGAAGATTTGGATTTCGCCAACGATGATGATGATGATGATGATCTATGTCTAATGTCTTATAACACAAACTCGAAGATCCACAGGCGAAAAGTAACAAGTTGACAGAAGAGGCAAGGAGCCGACAGCGAAGGAAGACGGGACTTCCTTCAGGTCAACGTAGGGAAGGCAGAGGTAGAGGTGATGAAGATACCAACCAACAACAACAACAACAAGAAGCACCAATCACCATGAATGGGAGAAGTCTGAAGGAAGTTATCTCTTACACCTACCTACCTACCTAGGCAGCATCATTCCAACTACATGTGGTGGCACAGCCAAACATGAGAATGTCAAAGCCTGCCAGGATCGGAGAGACAGCAAGACAAGCCTTCGTTTATTAATGTGAAATAATCAGTGTGGAGATCTACTCCACTCCACTCCACTCCACTCCACTCCACTCCACTCAGCATAAAGCGTGAACAACATCCGGAATTTGAACACCATGTCAGTCAAGTCAGTCAGTGCTTCTGTGTGATGGTTGACAGACTTGGGGTGTTACGAAAAGCATTTCCAACAAACTACAGACAGACATACATCAACCAACAGCTGCCACCTACTCTCACTCGATACTGACACTGAAGATCAGTGAGATGGGTGGCCAAAATAATAAGAATGAGCAGGGAGGAACTCTGGCTGGCTGGCTGGCTGGTTGGCTGGCTGGCTGCTGGCTGGCTGGCTGGCTGGCTGGCTGGCTGGCTGGCTGGCTGGCTGGCTGCTGGCTGGCTGGCTGGCTGGCTGGCTGGCTGGCTGGCTGGCTGGCTGGCTGGCTGCTGGCTGGCTGGCTGGCTGGCGGCAACGAACCAACCAATCAAGAACCCATCGCCCAACAAATATGCAGAAGGCAGTGAAGATGGATTGGATTGGATTGGATCGGACGTAGACTGAAAAGACTGTTTGGAGGCATAACGCGTGAAGTCAGGCCGGGTCAGGCCCTCGAGTGGAAGCCAAAGGGGAAGCGACGAGTTGTGTGTCCGAGGTGAGGATGATATGGAGGAGAGAATGTGAGTAAGAAATGAAAGTTTCTGGGTAGTGGTGGAGCCAGGTTGAAAGGACTGGAGAGAAGAGAGTGAAGTGGCGAAGTGGTAGTGAAGGCGTATGTTCCACTAAGAACCCAAAGGACAAATAATAATTTCATTTTCATTAAAAGTATTATTCGATACGATGCAAACATTGGTAGCTACAAAAGTCATCTTGAACTTTTTTCCCCTGTAGTCAGTTGAACCAGAATGAAGTATCTCCAACTCGATCACTATGCTGTCAGTCAGTTAGTCCATGTTGTTTTATACCCTATTAAGTGGATGAACATCAAACCTGTTACTACGTTCAAATCCTATTTTAAAACGATTTCTTGATTAACCACCTGACCTCAAGAGGACGTGCTATGCTAGGGCAAGTCGTATTAGGTTAAAAAAGGAGAGCTTATGGTGATTAGACCAAAATCTGAAACCAGTTGTTAAAGTTCTTGACTGTTGATCTGAGCCATGTACGAAGATGTAGACTACCTGACTGAGGTCTCCGAGATGATAAGAATCAATTGTTTGAGGACTCTTAGTGACATGGATGAACATTGGTCACAATGAGGCGGACATCTTCTGAAGCTTGAATATTCACACTAAACGTTATCTTTAAAGTGTTCATTCTTTAACACAACTTTGTTTACCTTGATATCATTCTTTTTCTATTTACCTATTCTTTGTATACTAATGTAAAGTGTGGTAACCAGAATTGAGGTGCTTCGTTGATTTGATATTTGTATATCTTTCGGATAACTATACAGCCTAGGATTTGTCAAACTCATTCCATTATGGTCGTCACAAAAGGACTTCCCTCCCTTCTCATAAACTGGGTAGATCAGTGAAGTACACTAGTCTGACCACGCTAACTCCGATTCCCATACACTGGGAAGTACTTGTCTTATTTCGATTAAGAATTCACTACCTCCATCCTTGAAAACATCAGGTGGAAAACTATCACGTTCTGCCACCCTGCATACTATCACGTTCCATACACACTTCTCAACTTAAACGACAGTTCCACGACAAACATCTACATACCATTCAGGTTAAGGCTGCATTTCGACCAACTGAAGCGTCGCTAACAGCCAGTTGAACCATGTTTCAAAATGTTTTCCCCAACGTTCTATCCACCTGTCCTCAAAGGTTATCAACGTACAATCCTTTTTCCTCATGGTCCCACTATCTATCATCTCCTCCCCAATATCATCAATAAGCCTTAATAGTTATCGGGTGTCATCTAACGCTGATAACTTCTCCATCTCTTTCGCTTTCACCACCCACCGATGTTCGCCATCAACGCGAAGACTCTTGATCAACTTATGTTTTAGTTGATTCATCTTTTCATCCTGGTCACAACTAGCTGGAATCAGTTTTCTCGGATCAATCAATTTGGATAACATCGTGGAAATCTAACGACGCTTGCTAACCATCGGGTGTAGGTTACCAACTGCCTTTATCGCTGTTTCTACATTACTGGAAGAAATAAGCTGGTCAAGCGATCAATTCTATTGATAGGAACAACCAATCAGGAGAAGGCAAGATTGAAGTATTGCCGATTCAATCAATGTAAGACAATAAGAAAATCAACTGAATACTCAAATGATGAGATAAATACAAAAGTATATTCAACAACGGAGTACGGTTCATAACTGAACGCACAAACATGGGTCACATGTGTAGCTGATTGCCATCAATTGCATTAAATCTCTCTTCGAGGACTCTTATTACTGATCTCGATGAATTATCCAATCAGCTGGCATATTTACTGGAATTTTAGAACATACTGCTGTGAGGTTATCTAAGACCTTCTTCGATTCTTATAGATAATCGATATATCATAACACATATACGCACATACTATTGTTTATCAAAAAAGATTGGCCAACTTTCAAACTATTTACAAACTGAACTACATACAATGTATATTACACATTGAAACTCAAAGAGAAAACCAACAGAAGAAAAGTGCATTATTATTGATTACAAGTACTCACTTCTTTTTTCTCAGCATTATACAAAGGTACAGTTGGATAGAGGACAGCTTTTTGAGCAAACCAAAATGTTTCACTTAGATTTAGCATAGTCTTTGCTGAACACTAAATGAAAAGAACAATGGTAATGATTATTATTATTATTTTAGTGATGGATAGTGGCTAGCAGTGGAATCCAGGATGCGCATTTCGTCCTATTTGGGACTCTTCAGCTGGATGTACCTGCCTTCCAGTGAGTGATGTTGTTCCCAACGAGATTCGGACTCGGAGTGATCGCTTCAAACGCCAGGGCGTTATCCACTACACCACCGAGCCACGATAGCCACTTCTTGTGCGACGAGTATAGTTTTGTTACGATTGTTTTTATATCATACCGATAGAATGAACAAATGGAAATGCCTATCCTGGATTTCACTCCTAGCCACGATCCATCATTAATATAATTAGAACACAGGCAATATTGAGGCATCTGCACAGGAGCCAATATGCCAATAGAGACCGATCGTCCAATCAACGACGATTTGATATAAAAACAATTATACTATTATTATAACCTATGATAAAGGGAGAATGCAATTAGTGTGATTCAACTTCAGGTGAATACTTCCAAGATAAGGCATATTTCAACAGTCTAAGAATATTTATTTCAGGCATTTTTAGACGAAATCACAAACTGTCTTCAGATATATTATTGAACGGTTTGGTAAGTTGTACAATATTGAAATTAAGTAGTGGTATTCGCTCATTAAATTCAAGGTAATTTGATCACTAGTCATTCTTTTATAAGAATTGAAGATGTCTCAATAGTGAATGTTGTACAGCATTGACGTCTGTGATATCTTGGCTGATACTTTTGTACGTCAGATAGATCATACTGTGAATGAAATATGTATATTTCTAAAGTAAGCCATAATGAACATTTCAATGTTTCTTATTTATTTATAAGAACAAGACAATAAATGACAGGAAGTGGATAACTAAGGAATAAAAACAATAAGAATATCATCATTAGAAGGGTAGCCCAGTAATAATTTACAGCAGCAGAAGATAGGAGGATGCTCCAGCATGACCACTACTGGTTTCGATTCTCAGCCATATCTGATAACGTCTCAAGTCACTGAGTTGCGTGATCTATCGGATCCCCCACCCGCAGAGTCGCGATGCACCAACAGATGCTAAACCCGATACAACTATCCTTTATCCTACAGTGCCTCACTATACATTGGCCACCCCTCCACTTTTCCTATTCAGTTCTAGAGCTAGCAAACAATGAACAGTATGGAAGTCGTTGAGATGACATGCGTAACACATGTCCAAGCCACCGAAACCGGTTTTTTCCAGATGATTTCACTGGTTGAATGACGATCTCCATGATGCCCAAACGCATGCCATCGTACCTAAAAATTACCTATATGGTGTTGCCAGCGGATACAAAAGCAATCCTAAGGAGACAACGATGATCGAATACACAGAGTCGTCGCACATCCTTAGCTCAGAAAAGCCAGGTTTCACAGGCATAGAGTAAGACTACTTGCATCGAAGAGTTTTATACCCGGTCTTTTACAATCAGACTAGTATCGAGATGGCGCCAAAGGTGGCCCAGATTCCAAAGTAGGTTTCATCCAGCGATTTAATTCTCGCCTCCCTCACACATAAAATTGAATCGTCATAGATTATTAAGAGATAATTGGTCAAAGTGGGATTCTCAATTGCTGTAACAGTCTTTCACTATGCTATCAGTTTAACACCAGTTCAGTACAACATAGGTATTCGGAAGATGCACCCCTGAATAACACAATATAGCTATAGTATAAGGGCTTAGGAGAAGAAAAGGGAAAAGATGGAGATAAGAACAAGAATAGAATGATCAAAGAAAGAGAAATTCATCTTAAAAAGCATTCAAAATGGACATCAGTGTTTCCAATTTTGAGTTACGTAGATGGTTAGAAAGCAAACGAGAATTTTAATTCGGTTGACATCCAGCTGATAAGTCCAAAATAGGAAGAAACAGGTGCCCTAGGTTCCACTGCTAACCACCAAGTAGATTAAAATGTAGTGAACATCAGAACAGTATCAAAGCATTCGCATAGGAGTCAATCTGCTAACAAAGGTAGAGCAATTCGACGTTGTATAGCAACGGGAAATTAAAAGTATCAGTAGACAACAACTGATACCCATTGTGTAAATGGTGACTCTCGTATTCCAGTGGATAATGTTTCGGTAAGAAATACATCACCCATTGAGGTGCAGGTACGTATATTAAACTGAAGAGTTGAAAATAAGACGAAACATGTGTCCCGTATTCCACTGCAAGCAACCACGTAGACTGAAGCACAGAAGTTACTTGGATCGTAGGCGTAAAATATACTTATCGGTCTACTTCACACATTTACATATATATTATTATTATATTATTATTCGTCCCTTGGGTTCCTAATGGAACATAGGACTTCAGTAGCACGTCTCCAGTGAACTCTGTTCTCTGAAATCTTTTCAACCTGGCTCCACGACTATCCACAAGCTTTCATTTCCGCCTCGCACGATCTCCTCCATGTCACCCTCGGACGTCCAACTGGTCGCTTCCCATGGGGATTCCACTCGAGCATCTGGCCTGATGCGTGATGTCCCCAGTCGGTTTTCTCAGTGTATGCCCAATCCATCTCCACTTCCTTCTACATATTTGTTGAGTGATAGGTTCTTGGTTGGTTCGTTCCCAGAGCACCTTGTTGCTTATTATATGTATTATATATATATATATATATATAAAATAAATCTGTCACACAAGCCTAGCGAATAAAAATATCTAGGCTATCAATCAGTAACCCAGTAACTATTATCCTTCCTATTGAAACCAATCATTGAATCTGCCTCCAAAATAACAAGCAGTAGGAGAAATGGACGAATGGGAATAACAACTTCTTCATCACTCAATTATTGGACGATTACAATCGAACTTTTCACGAATAAACAGTAATGATAATGATAACAATAATAATAATAACAGTTACAACTAATATAAATATTTTTTAGAGATTTCACCCAACTGTGTTAATTACTTATTGTATTCTTGTCCCAAAAATAAAGCTACAATTAGATATCCTTGATAATGATAATAATAAAAAAAAAGAGGCGTAGAGAGAACCAAGATCTCGGACAATAAACGATATGCCTTTAAAAACGAAAACAAAAAGAAACCTATTGAAAAAATTAATTTAACAAACAAACAAATAAACAGGTTTTACAATACTGGAATTACATACCTCTATGCATGTTTCCACTTCAGAATACTCAGACATCAATGGAAGCATTTTCTGTAATATATATACACATATATAACAAAAAGAAAGTGGAAAATTTACATGATAATTAAACAACTGTCGAGATAGTGAGCAAAATTAACAGCTAACCATCTATAAAAATCTCCCAACATTTCAAAAATATTTAATCTTTTCCTTATGAAAAAATGTGTATTTCACCACTTTCGATAGAGTGAAATCTGGGAGAAGAACTTGTTGACATACTCACAAGAAGGAATATCTTATAGTTATCTTTTAGTAAAACATCCCCTAGTTAACTAGTTCCTAGTTTACAAACCGGTTCTAAACCCGATAAAGGGGGAAGATTGGACATAGGGGTAGCAACCCTATCCCGGAAAACCAATCCAACCAACCGCTAAAGAAACTTCAAAGCACAAAGAAATTATCAAAAATAAAAATAAACTTGTTCCTCTCTGGAATCGAGGAGACAAAATGACCCCCGGTTGGTGAAAGCCTGTCTTCGGGAAGCCAATCGGCCGATGTGTCTTATTCTTCATCGATGAAGCGAAAGTACACATGGGGACATGGAATGTCAGCACTATGTTTGAACCCAGCGAGGCAGCCCAGATTGCAAAGGAGATGAGAAGGTATCACATCGAAGTGCTTGGAATTTGCGAAAGCAGATGAAATGGGGGTGGACTCTCCAAACTGTCAACTGGAGAATCAATAGTCTACCCGATATCGTTACCCAGACGACAACCACGAGCACACTGAGGGAGTGGCTACCATGATGTCCTCAAGAGCATCGAAGGCTCTCATGCAGTGGGAACCAATCTCCTCCAGGATCACGACAGCAAGATTCAACTCAAAAGGACGGAAAGTCACAATCATACAATGCTACGCCACGCAACTACAAATAATGCAGAGCAAGAGAAAAAGGAGGATTTCTACAGACAACTTCAATCAACACTGGACAAGACACCACCTCAGTTGGCGATATCAAAATTCTAATGGGCGACATGAATGCCAAACTGGGAGGGGACAACACGGGAAGAGAACTAACCATGGGTCGAGAGGCGCTAGGTGAAATGAATGAGAATGGAGAATTGTTTGCAGAATTCTGCGCATTCAACGATTTGGTGATTGGAGGCACTGTGTTTAAGCACAAGGATATTCACAAAGCGACATAGATTTCACCAGATGGACACACTAAAAATCAAATCGACTTTATCTCAATCTCAAGAAAGAGGAGACGCAGGCTACTTGACACTAGGTCAAGAAGAGGAGCAGATGTAGGCTCAGACCACTACCTAGTACAAGGAACCTTCCAAACTAACTTAAAAGCCTTCAAGGAAGCTGGTGATAGACCACAGTTCAAGTACAACACCCAGAAACGGAAGGGTGAAACTACAAAGGACATCTTCACAGCAGCCATCAAGAAAAAATGGGAGACATTGAGCAACATCCCTAAAGAAACCTGTGAGGATGAGCACTGGAACTCTTTGAAAGACATGTGGAAAGAAACCTGCACCACCGTATTAGGAAGGAAGAAGAAAGAAGACAAAACAAGAAATGGATCCCGACGGATACCTGGAAGCTGACAGAGAAGAGGATGAAGTAGAAGATAAACCAGTAGAAGGATGCACAACGAGAAGAGGAACTGAGTACAATGTATAAAACACTACACCGGACAAAGTGAAGAAGAGTGCACGGAAAGACAAAAGACACTTCTACGAAACACTTGCAAGTGAAGCAGAACAGGCTGCAGACTGGTAGGAGAGACCTGACAACATTGTATCAAACAACTAGGTTACTATCTGGGAAGAGATCAACACAGATGAAACCAATAAAAGATGGTGAAGGAAATATAATTACGAAAGAAGAGAAACAAAGGAAACGATGGGCTGACCACTACAAAAAGCTCTTGAATCGACCACCACTACCATCTTCAACTCATCCAGAGCTACCACCAACAACGGCAGAATTACCAGTGAACACAGGCCCTCCAACAAAAGCAGAAGTCATGAATACCATAAAGCTACTGAAATATGGGAAAGCAGCAGGACCAGATGGAATTCCACCAGAAGCACTGTAAACAGACGCAGAGATAACAGTGGACATGCTCACGCCACTACTGTAGAAGCTTTGGAAGGAAGGAAAGATACCTGCTGATCGATTGGAAGAAGAGCTACCTTGTCAAACTCCCGAACAACGGAGACCTAAGCCTTTGCAAGAACTGTCACGGAATCATGCTGCTGTCCACCCCAAGCAAAATATTAAGCCGCATTATCCTGGAGAGACTAAAGGATGGACTGAATTCAAAACTATGACCGGAACAGGCTGGCTGGCTGGCTTCAGGAAGAACAAATCATGTACAATCAAATTGCAACGCTACACTACGCATCGTCATAAAACAGAGCATAGAATGGCAGTCAACCCTCTGCCTCAACTTCATCGACTTTGAAAAGGCCTTTGACAGCGTCGACCGAGAAGTAATTTGGCAATTGCTCGAACACTATGGAATACCACAAACCTTTATCAATCTCATTCAACAACTATATGAAGATGCCACATGCCAAGTAATTCACAATGGGAAGCTCAGTGACCCGTTTCAAGTGAAGACAGGAGTAAGACAAGGCTTCCTACTATCACCAATCATCTTCCTGATTGTGGTCAACTAGATCATGCAGCAAACTGTGAGGAGCGAGAAGACAGGCATACGCTGGACCAATGAAAAGACCCTAGCAGAAGACCTACATTTCGCCAACGATGGTGATGATTTATGTCTGATGTCTTGTCGCACAACGTCAAAGATCTACAGACAAAAACTAACAAGTTGACAGAAGAGGCGGTGAAAACAGTACTTCAAGTGAATGTAGAGAAGACGGAGGTGATGAAGATACCCAACCATCAATAGCATCAACAATAAGCACCAATCACCGTGAACGGGAGAAACCTAAGGGAGATAAGTTGTCTCTTTCACCTACTCACCTTCCTAGGCAGCATCGTTTCAACTACAGGCGGCACAGGCACAGATGAAGACGTCAAAACCAGGATCGGAAACACAGCAAGACAGGCTTTCACTTATATGAAACCAATCAGTGTGGAGATCTACTGCACTCAGCACAAAGAACAAGATCCGGATTTTTAACACCAAGTCAGTGCTGCTATATGGTTCAAAAACTTGACGTCACCAAAAGCACTTCGAACAAACTACAGACATCCATCAACAGCTGCCACCTACGCTAACTCGATCAGATGACCAGAAAGAATAAGCAACAAGGAACTCTGGCTAACAACGAACCAACCAACAACCTATCACTCAACAAATATGCAGAAGAAAGTGAAGATGGATTGGGCATACACTGAGAAGGTTGATTGGAGACATCGCGCTTTAGGCCCTCAAGCGGAATCCAAAGGGGAAACGAAGAGTGAGGTGTCCGAGGGTGACATGGAGGAAATGGGGTGTAGAAGAAATGAAAGCTTCCGGGCAGTTGTGCAATGAGGTTGAAAAGACTGCAGAGAAGAGGGTGCAATGAAGCCCTATGTTCCACTAGGTACCAAGAGGAAAATAATAAATAATAATATTGATAGTAGCTAGCAATGGAATCCTGGATTTACGTTTCGTCCTATTTGGGACTCGTCAGCCGGATATAGGTAATGTTGTTCCCACTGGGACTCGAGTCAAGAATGTTATCCACTAGACACCACTGAGTGACAATAATATAGCATTAAATCTCTCATCAATAATATGTATGGTAAATTATTGTTCCACACTTACATCTAATTTACTTTCATGATTTATATCCAATTTATTACCGACTAGGACAACAGGTATGTGTGTATCTGCATCTGTACTGACATGACGAATTAAAGGCAACCAATAAGATGATATCTGTATGAATAAACAAGATAAAACTTTTTAAAAAAATAAACCCATAACTTAAAACAATAAGAACAGTAGACACAAGATAACGTCAGTAAATTTATCTAATGAGAATAAAATGAAGGTATACAAATTTGGATAATGTAATTAGAAGACGTAGATTATCTGAAAAATGTGATGTATTAGCGCTATACATTTCGAACAATCTGATCACACATTTACTTGTTAAGGCAGTATTATATATGAAAACTGGAAGTGGGGGAAGGACATATATGACATAAAGGAATTCAATAATAAGAAAGATAATGAGAGGAGAAAAAAGATAAGACTTGAAGACAATCTTGGTAATACGATAAAATAAGCATTACTAAGGTAGGCTTAATGTAAGGACAAACTATTTTTGCACACACAATGGGGGGGGGGGGGTTAAATTTATTTATGGCTAGCGCCTCAACAAACTTAAGTCTACGCCCCTGACAGTTTCTGTACAAAATTGTAAAGGCTGTTTTGATATCAATTCTGTGACTCTTATCAATGATATGTTTCGCAATGGATGATGATGGTTGTCTGCCATCTGCGCCATCAAACCAATGGGGTCTGAGCTACCTAATCTGTATGGATTGCCTAAAATTCATAAAACAGATAATCCTTTACGTCCTATACTCTCCATGTTCCGTTCACCTACACATAAAGTGGCGAAATGGTTAGCAAAAACTCTAATTCCTATTCGAAATGATTTATGTAAGTTTTCTTTAAAAGATACTTTTGAACTTGTTAATTATGTCAGTGATATTAATATCAAAGATAAGAGATTGTATTCATTTGATGTCAACTCCTTATTTACTAATGTACCCCTAATTAAAACCATTGACATTCTTTGTGATCATATATCTTCCAGTAATCCTTCTTTCCCTATCCCCTCAACGTGTTTGAGAGAGCTGTTATTATTGTGTACTGATAAAGTTCATTTCACATTTGAAGGTGAACATTTTCGACAAATAGATGGTGTGGCTATGGGAAGTCCTTAGGACCATTGCTAGCTGATATTTACATGTCACACATTGAGGGCTTGACCGGCGATCTCATCAATAAAGTTACTCTCTATAAAAGATATGTTGATGATATAATCGTGATATGTGATAAGCATGAAGATGCGACATGTTTGTTAGAAAGACTTAACAACGTACAAAACAACATAAGCCTGACACGTGAAGAAGAGAAAGAAAACCGTCTGCCATTCTTGGATATACTCCTAAGTCGTAGAAATGATGGTTCAATAAAACGGTCGATCTACAGGAAACCTACTTGGACAGGTCAGTATTTAAGTTTCCATAGCTTTTGTCCAACCCAATACAAGCGAGGTTTGGTAACTTGTCTATTTAAAAGGATCGAGCGTATTTGTACGGAGGACTCAATGGATGATGATATCAAAATACTAACGGAAACATTAGTGGAAAATGGATATCCATTGAAGTTCATAAACCGCTGCAAAAATCAGCGAGGATTCAAACCTGATCTGTACTCTGTTTCGAAGAAATGCGTTTACATCGCGTTACCATACAGAGGAGAATCTAATAGCATAATATTAAACGAAGGTTAAGGTCTGCTGTTAGCAAAACGTACTATGCAGCTAAGCTTATCATAGTTGAGAAGACCAAACACCTGCTGCTACCTAGACCTCAACGCTGTATAAACGATTGTGTCACATCCCACTGCGTTTATAAATTTACATGTGTGTGTGGACAAACATACATAGGGAGGACGAATCGTGATATGCACTTGAGGGTAGGGGAACATGTTCCAAAGTGGCTACGAAAGCAGCTGGATTCACAAACATTGATAAGCGCAGATGGCAGACAACCATCATCATCCATTGCGAAACATATCATTGATAAGAGTCACAGAATTGATATCAAGACAGCCTTTACAATTTTGTACCGAAACTGTCAGGGGCGTATACTTAAGTTTGTTGAGGCGCTAGCCATAAATAAATTTAACCCCCCATTGTGTGTGCAAAAACAGTTTGTCCTTACATTAAGCCTACCTTGGTAATGCTTATTTTATCGTATTACCAAGATTGTCTTCAAGTCTTATCTTTTATTCCTCTCATTATCTTTCTTATTATTGAATTCCTTTATGTCATATGTGTCCTTCCCCCACTTCCAGTTTTCATATATAATATGCCTTAACAAGTAAATGTGTGATCAGATTGTTCGAAATGTATAGCGCTAATACATCACATTTTTCAGATAATCTACGTCTTCTAATTACATTATCCAAATTCATAAAAGGAACCAATTGTTTCAAGGAAGTTATATAAGTTCTCATTGTGATAGTGAACATATCACTACCACGTTTATGTGTTCCAGGCCAAAAACCTTATACACTATATTGATAACACGGGTGAAACTATCCGACTGTATACATATACATGTTAGAGCTGAACAGAGCTCGAACCAATGTTCCAGTGATTGGGAATTAGATACACCTATCGTCTGAGGGGAACAAGGAACTCTGGCCTGCTAACGAACCAACCAAGAACCTATCATTCAATAAATACGCAGAAGTGGAGATGGATTAGGCATACATTGAGAAGGCTGACTGGGGACATCACACACCAGGTCCTCGAGTGGAATCCCTATGGAAGCGACGAGTTGGACGTCCCAGCTGAGGGTGACATGGAGGAGGTCGTGTGAGGAGGAAATGAGAGGTTGTGGGCTGTCGTGGAACTAGGTTCAAAAGATCTCAGAGAACAGAGTTCACTGGAGACGTTCTACTGAATCCCTATGTTCCATTAGGAACCCAAGGGACAAGTAATAATAATAATATAATCGTCTGAGGGCAAACAATATTACCTGGTTATAAAAACCAGGTTGGTTGGCAGTGAGTTACATAACCACATGAACTAAGATTTTATTCCTTTTACAACAGAGTATATGGATCAATAAGTCGAAATTCCACAAAGTGGGCAGAATTATCGAAAAATACTACTACTGAATATTTCGAGTAGTCAGTAATCACCCAAGCTGATCTCCAGATTTCGCCAGCCAACCAGATCAGTATGATCTAAACACCAAATGGCCTCTTAGCTCACTTCAAGTCGAGTTCATCACTGGTATACCCGGACAAAGTCAGCTCATAGACATGAATTAGTTCAGATCACTTGAATCTAGGTAACTGACTTGCACACCCCGATATACCTAAAAGATTTACAAATTGCACGGTTCAGGGTACCATATCTAACAGCTGAGTACGTTTTTCAGCTACCCAACAACGGTCTCAACAAATTTCCCACTGGAAATCACTTAGTCGAGATCACAAAATGTAATCAAGCTAAAAATCGATTATAACAGAAAAGATGTAAGCTTCCTGCCGACCGCTCCCACCTCTGTCATTACATCATGATAGTGAGCCTCTTAGCTAGGTGACTATATTCTAAAATGACCGGTAGAATTCAATAAACACTCAGGTTAGATAACATGAAATTAGTTACTCTCCAATGACCAATTCACGTACTTTTCTGTCCACTTTAAAGTATTGAATATTCTTATTAACCTTCATCTATATATGCTCTCTCCTCCTGTTCACTTTCGTCTGATTTAATGGTATTCCTTTTTCTGCTGACTTTTTCTTTAGATGTTTATGTGAACTATCACAACTTGGAGTGATATATTTCTACATCATGTTTACACGTTCATCTGTCTATCTGCCTAATATCGTAATCACCTTACTAGAAGAATGGATTAAGCATAAGTTTAAAATCACTACAAAACCAAACATCAGCTCTCATGACGTAACCAGTACATTAGCGAACAGAACACTCTATGGATAATACTGAACCCAGATATAATTATGATAAATAACCTTCTTTCAAGAGAAAGAAGAAAGAGAAGAAAAAAACTCTTACTAACCTGTTTAAAAGAATTATCATCATCTAAGGCATGAACTAAACAAATAACATTTGCACGTTTTATCTCTGAACATAACTGTTCATGAGATTGTGTTTGAGAGGAATAATCAACAATCTGTGTAGGAATATGTTCAGGTGTTACATCCTCTGGGATTGTAATCTCTTCAGCTTGTGCAGGTACCTGTAACAAGACAAAATAACAAAAAGAAGATGCAATAACAAGGTGGTGGTTGTTTCATCACCAAAAAATCCCAATGTAAAAATATCACAACAAAATAGTTAACAATATTACTTATTATTATTGGTCCCTTGGGTTCCAAGTAGAACACATGTCTTTACAACCCTGTCGCCATTTCACTCTCTTCTTTGTAATCTTCTCAACCTGGCTCCACGACTACCCAGAAGCTCTCATTTCTTCCTAAGACCATCTCCACTATGTCACCCTCACCTCGGACGACCAACTAGTCATTTCCTATTTCGGTTTCACTTGAGGGCCTGACCTCGCTGGAGCCTGATGTCCACAAAATGGTCTCTTCAGTGTACGCCCTATCCATCTCCATTTTCTTCTGCATATTTGTTGGGCGATGGGTTCTTGGTTGGTTGGTTCGTTGCCAGCCAGCTAGCCAGCCAGCCAGAGTTCCTCCCTGCTCATTCTTATTATTCTGGCCACCCATCTCACTGATCTTCAACGTCAGTATCCAGTGAGAGTAGGTGGCAGTTGTTGGTTGATGTATGTCTGTCTGTAGTTTCTTGGAAATGCTTTTCGTAACACCCCAAGTCTCTCAACCATCACACAGAAGCACTGACTGACTTGACTGACATGGTGTTCAAATTCCGGATGTTGTTCACGCTTTATGCTGAGTGAGTGGGTGGAGTGGAGTGGAGTGGAGTAGATCTCCACACTGATTATTTCACATTAATAAACGAAGGCTTGTCTTGCTGTCTCTCCGATCCTGACGGGCTTTGACATTCTCATGTTTGGCTGTGCCACCACATGTAGTTGGAATGATGCTGCCTAGGTAGGTAGGTGGGTAAGTAGGTAGGTAGGTAGGTGTAAGAGATAACTTCCTTCAGACTTCTCCCGTTCATGGTGATTGGTGCTTCTTCTTGTTGTTGTTGTTGTTGTTGTTTGGTTGGTATCTTCATCACCTCTACCTCTGTCTTCCCTACGTTGACCTGAAGGAAGTCCCATCTTCCTTCGTTGTCGGCTCCTTGCCTCTTCTGTCAACTTGTTACTTTTCGCCTGTGGATCTTCGAGTTTGTGCTATAAGACATCAGACATAGATCATCATCATCATCATCGTTGGCGAAATCCAAATCTTCTTCTAGGGTCTTTTCATCGGTCTAGCTAGCCTATGCCCATTTTCTCACAACTCTTCGCAGTTTGTTGCATGATCCAGTCCAGTCTAATCGAGTTGATCACAATCAGGAAGATCATCGATGACAGTAAGCAACTCATCAACTCAGTACAGTTTTATGTGCAGCTGAGTTCCACTTATTGTGCGAGACTAGCTTGTCACTCACCCTGTGTGTGTGTGTGTATGTGTGTGTGACGGCAGCACAGATTGACGCCAGTTTCGATCTCCAACTATCCAGCTGCTTTGTTTTGCTTTGAGGTTACAAATTACTTCATAAACCTATTAGCAACCAGTAAGCTAAACTAATTACTTAAGTGAAAATAATAAAAATATCGAGTATACTTTCGTCAACAGAGAGGGAGAGAGAGAAAAGCCAAAGTAGAACTTAGCACAGAAGTACATCCATTTACATAGTCAAACATCCTGCCAACATGTAAAGAACAAGACGGTAGGAAAAAGACTACTAATATCAAGGTAGAGAAAGGTGTATAGGAGGAGAAACATACATGCAAGCTATTACAGTACTTGAAGTTTCACAAAAACTTACATTATTCACTGATAGCCCTGATTATAAAAGCATCTTTAGCAATCCCAATTCATCATTCTGCAATTCACTATTATTGATTAAAGCGAATTATTACACCTTTTTTTCTCCTCAATGAGAATAATAAAATAACTTGTTCTTATTTTTCGTTCTTCTTCTTATTATTATTATTTGTCCCTTGGGTTCCTAGTGGAACATAGGGCTTCAGTAGCACGTCTCCAGTGAACTCTGTTCTCTGAGATCTTTTGAACCTAGTTCCACGACAGCCCACAACCTCTCATTTCCTCCTCACACGACCTCCTCCATGTCACCCTCGGCACCGACGCCCAACTCGTCGCTTCCCATGGGGATTCCACTCGAGGGCCTGACCTGACGCGTGATGTCCTCAGTCGGCCTTCTCAGTGTATGCCCAATCCATCTCCACTTCCTTCTGCATATTTGTTACGTGATAGGTTCTTGTTGGTTCGTTCCCAGAGCTCCTTGTTGCTTATTCTTTCTGGCCATCTGATCTTCAGTAGCGAGCGTAAGCAGTTGTTGATGAATGTCTGTAGTTTATTAGAAATCCCTTTCGTGACGCACCAAGTCTCTGAACCATACAGAAGCACTGACTTGACGTTGGTGTTGAAAATCCGTATCTTGTTCCGCATGCTGAGTGCAGAAGATCTCCACACTGGTTTCAGGCTAATGAACGCCTGTCTTGCTTTTCCGATTCTGACTTTGATATCCTCGTCTGTGCCTGTGCCACCTGTAGTTGAAACAGTGCTTCCTAGATAGGTGAAGGAGGTTACTTCCTTTAAGTTTATATTTTTCGTTCTTAGAGCATATAAACCTGTGATTATGAATGTTAGATTACGAACTATAAAAAGAGTTTAGTCAGAACTATAATTGAGAGACAGACATATCAAAGCAGCAACCAATCAGCTGTTTGAATTGTGTCTAGGTCAAGTCGAAATAACATACAAAACTAGTCATGTGATTTGATAAAATTATTCGGTGAAGGAAGGTATTCGGAATTCCTCTTTTCTTATTTATATATATATATATATATGATTACATTGATTACGAATAATATTAACATTGGATTACCTACGAGCCACCAAAAAGAACTGATTATTAAGATGTACGCTCAATGTACAGTTCAGATTTAATGATATGATTTTAAATTAGAGTAACGGAGTCACAATGGGGTCTCCACTAGGTCATGCATGTCCTGGCTGATAATCTTTATGGTAAAGCTAGAAAATAGTCCACTTAAAGAAATAATCTCGAAACTTTATTTGTATAAAAGGTACATTGACGACACTTTTCTTATTTTCAATAAAACATGTTCAGTGGATGAGCTGTGCTAAGACATTTCAATGATTGTCACCTGTTGTTCATTAAATTCACTGTAGAGAAAGAGTTAAATTCAATATACCACTTTCTAGACGTGATATTGAAGAGAAGGAATGATAGTTCAATTCAAAGGTCAGTCTATCGAAAACCAACTTTACTAGTTTTGTACCTCTTAGTTGTAAAAAAATCTCATTCACTCTCTGTGTTCCAGAATCTATAAAAGATGTTCAGAAGACACAGTGGAGATTGAAGTCGAAACTCTTAGAACAACACTATCTAATAACGGATAACCTAAAAGATTTATTGATAAGAATCTGAAAAAACGAACCACTTCCCATCCCATTACAGTCCCTAAGAAAATTTTAACCATGAATCTAGAATTCAATGGAGACACCATAGCCGAAGTGCTGAAAAACGGTCTGTCAAGATGTATTAGTAGTAGCTTCTATGCTGCTAGACTGAGACTGATATTCTCCAGCCACCGCCTGATTCTTCAATGCGTGAATGATAGGCTTCCACTTATGTCCACATCTGTGTGTATCTACAAATTCACATGCTTCAAACGTTGTAAGCGGGGCCCCTGAAAGCCTCTTGCTGAACATTACCCGGTTTGGTTTACCAAAGGCGAGCCAAGGGAAACAACTTCATCCATATGTGAACAACCAGTAGAATTAGGTCATTCAGCAACTCAAGATTCATCCTTTAAGATAATATACAAACTTAAATTGAACCACTGCAAAGGTTCACGTTTCCATCACTTATGCATAGCTGAAGTATTAGCTATATATGAACAAAAACCGAAACTTTGCATTCAGAAACATCTTGTTAAATCACTTTCTCTACCTTGGCCTTAATAATCCCCTTTTGTTGATTTGTTGTTGTCATTTCACTAAACTTTGGTACACTTCTCTTTTATTATCATCATCATTATCATCAATTTTCACTTCATTGACAACATTTGACCCATATTTCACCTTTTAATATCAATTCATTCCTTATTCATTGACCTATTTTGCATATTTCAGTTAAATTATCGTTTCACAATCCTTTGACACTGTGTTTCTTACTTCACTACTTGTTATCAATTTGTTCCTTATTCAGTGATCCATTTTCTATTTCTTCCCCCTGAGCGAATACCACCACCTACACCTATTGTATATTTCGGATATTATTTGAATGAAGAAGCGTAAAAAAAAAGAATTGGAAAAAAATCTGAACAATAATTATTTTTACTGGGCGATGATTGAAGGTGAGATGAAAATGTGAACAGCTGCTGGATTCAAACCAGCAACCACTAGGTTACTGGCCCGATGCTCTATCAACTGAGCTACGAGGTCCGACTGCTGATCAGAATTTTATTTCACTTCATTCAGTTAGTTACATTTGAATTTGAATGAGAAATCCTGACTAGGCAACCAGTGTGAATACGATCAAGTGGTAGTAGCCCATCACGAATTCACATGGTAGTCGGGCAAAAGCCTTGGTGATTGAAATGAAATAAAATTCTGATGAGCAGTCGGACCTCGTAGCTCAGTCGGTAGACCATTGGGCCGCTAACCCAGTGATCGCTGGTTCGAATCCGACCGCGGTCCAGATTTTCATCTCACCTTCAATCAACGCCTAGTATAAATACTAGTATGCCAAATTACGGCTATCTCAGGTAGTCAAATGATAATCAATATGATGCTCCCCCTCTCTGATTCAATTAGATTTCGATTGAGATCAGAAGTCCTGACTAGGCAGTAGCCAGTGTGAATACGATCAAGCGTTAGTAACCTATCACGAATTCACATAGTAGTCGGCCAAAACCCACCTTGGTGATTTGAAATGAAATAAAAATTTGGTCAGTGATCGGGTTTGGTAGCCCAGTTGACAGAGTAGCCGGTTGGAAACCCGGTGGTTTCTGATTCGAATCCTGACTTAGTCAAATTTTTATTTCAACTTCCAAACATCACCCAGTATCAAAAACTCAAAAGTCAACCAATGTACTGAGAGGATTCATACAGTTCAGAAGAAGAATGAAGATCAATTCTAAGGGAGACACTAATAGTAGAGATACTGATGAACTATGTGACAACTTTTCTGAGCAAAAAATTCCTTTATGTTAAACCATTTTTAATCACCGATTGACTCAAGGATGTGCTAAGGAGAAACTGCAGTTTTAGACTACAGCAATATGTGTTTGTAAGTTTTATAATTACTTCTATGAAGTTAGTCAGAGAAGATGCCCAAAGCGAGCCTTCCAAACTCATCTCTGAATATTATCATCCATAGCTAATAATTTGTTACAGTAAACTCACCGAAAGTTCAATAATTAAACATCTGCTTAATTCCAGGATGTATATAGTATTGTAGTAAACGAGAAGACTGAGATAAAGGAAGGACTGTTTATTATTGACATCTTATATAGCAGTCATCAAATATGGTACACCTTCCACTAAGACAGTCATTTGCATAATGTGCTTCATTTCTTCTTCTGCTTCTATCTTGATTTGCTCTTCATATACCCACATTGTCTGTTGCGTTTCACTGATCAGAATCCTTACCTATTGCTGGTAATTGCCTATGATTTCTATCGACCTCTCAACATATACTACTTATATCCATTCTGATTAGTAGCGCCGACTACGGTATCATCAGAATACTAGTCCAAATCTATCTACAAAGATAAACCGAACAGTTTGAAAGGAGTAAGGCTTTATAACTTGTGCACCAGTCAATACACTGGAAATCCACCAATTCAGGCTTGAACTTCATGTGAAAAAGTATGTTAAGTCGCCATTTTCACCATGGTTTCAATTCCTCTTCTTCCATTTTTTCTTTCCTCACCTCTTCAATATTAATTACTCCGAAATCAATAATTTATATTTCTTTCTTCACTTTTTTTTTCATTTGCCATATAGACACTTGACCATTTCACTTTACATCTAGAAACAATTCTCACCTTGTCAAATTTGAATACACTTAGCAACGACATACACGCTTGTGTAGTTGGAAATGAGCCACACCTAATGCATGAGGGTTGGTCACACGAACTAGATGCCTAAATCTCAGTCAGTGGAGTCACTGGGGTTCGAACCCGTGACCCATTGCTTGAAAATTGAGCATCTCGATCAATGAGTCACAGCCCCATCTCATATTTCTTACATCTCTGATGACTTTTATCGCCTACAATATTAATATCTTACCTCTTTCTGTTCTTAAACATTATAGTCATGATGCATCTCCATGCTGATATTCCCCATGAATTCTTTCAGTAAACTGTCTTTTTTTGTAGTCTATTTGGTGGCCAGCAGTGGAATCTATGATGCGCTTTTCGTCATATTTGAGACTCGTCAGGTCATATACGTACCTGCACTCCATTAGGTGTTGTTCTTTCCCACTGCGACTTGAACCTAACATCAATCGCTTAAAAACGCCAAAGCGTTATCCACTAGGTTATCGGAATATGAAAGCCACCACTTGTACAACGAGTATTAGTTACTGTTTGTTGATACTTGTGACTTCTCGTTGCTATACTGGATCGAATTGCTCGACCTCTGTTGGTGGATGCGCTTCTATGCAGATACCCGGATATTCGTTATACTTTAGTCTATTTCCATCCATCAATCCAAAATCAACATAGGACCAAGCATTACTGCGTAACGGTCCGAGTTGCCACACCTCATATCACCACATCAGATAACAAGGCAATAAAAAAAAGATGAAGGAAAGGAAATTCAGCCAAAAGAAGTAGGAGTAGAAGGTAGTATGCGAGAGGAAGGAAGAATGGGAAAATGGTGAGATTATGTGTGTGAATATATCTGCACCACTGACATCGGTTCTCAGCCATGTGGTCACCTAGAGTCAGTCTCCAACCACTACTGGTTTCTCTTGTCCCACCAACCCCAACCACCTAGTCTATATCGCCCCACATGACTCAAACCAACAGTCAAAGACTTCATACATTGATGCCATGTTTTATTCTGGCCGACTCGAGCCTTTCTCCAACCTGAACCTACTTCGTCCAACATTGTGTGATGGGGCAATCGACGACTAGGCATAGGTAATACATGTCGGAGCCAACCATCTCAGTCAATGAAGGTTCACTACCGCATCAACTGACTTGTCTCTCCTGCCTAATAGTCTACGCCTGACTTATGCTTTACTCATGTGGTGACACCACGAAACACGGTCTATGCCAAGAAGGCAGCGGTGGTCGAAAACATGAAGCCTTCTCAAGTTTTCTGCCGTTAATGGTCATGTTTCACAGCCACATAGTAGAACAGGGAGAACTGGAGTATATTACACTTGACCTTTAATAAGCAATCGGATTTCGCGGAGACTCCATCAATGGCGTAAGTTGGCAACAACCAACCGAGCGTTTTGTATTCTTGCAGAGATTTCGTCGCTTATTGAGAGACCAGGGATGAATGTTATTTAGGTAGTATGTTTTGTTAGTTCATTAAACTTTGGATTTAGTTTTAGAGTTTCATTATCATATCTAGTGTACTAGAAACGAAATAAAAATAGTGGATTCTACTACTTCCCAGTAGATATGACCAATACTAATAGAAAACTGTTTTTTCCACGTTTAAACTAACCTTTGGGGAAAATTCTTCACTAACCAATGATAGGATAAGAGTTGTCTTGCCAACACGAGCTGAAAGTTAAAAACAGTTTTTCTTTTGTTTTAATTAAACATCTCCAAATTATAGGAGAATAAGAAATCAAAAAGAATTTGTAATAGGTCAAATGCATAACAAAAAGCACATTAGTTTTCATTTACAGCAACTAAACTCATGAGACACATGAACCGGTAAAACAATTTAAGTTAGCGTGATAGATACACTTTATGCTGAAGATAACCAGTGGTTGATGACTCTATATAAACATGTTATGAAGTATGAACTGCCTGATAATAGTATATTACATGTCTATAAGTTATATTACTGTTCTTAAATGGCAGACACACAGACAGAAAATAGCGTGTACTGTACAGCAGTCCGCTCTGTTCTACTTGATGGCTGTCAAACATGGCCATTTAAGGTGAAAGGCATAAGAAGGCTTGCTTCAGGTGTTTGACCACCGTTGCCTTCGTACTATAGGCCGTATTCCGTGGTGTCACCACATGAGTAAAGCATAAGTCAGGCGTAGACTATTAGGCAGGAGAGACAAGTCAGTTGATGCGGTAGTGAACCTTCATTGACTGAGATGGTTGGCTCCGACATGTATTACCTATGCCTAGTCGTCGATTGCCCCATCACACAATGTTGGACGAAGTAGGTTCAGGTTGGAGAAAGGCTCGAGTCGGCCAGAATAAAACATGGCATCAATGTATGAAGTCTTTGACTGTTGGTTTGAGTCATGTGGGGCGATATAGACTAGGTGGTTGGGGTTGGTGGGACAAGAGAAACCAGTAGTGGTTGGAGACTGACTCTAGGTGACCACATGGCTGAGAACCGATGTCAGTGGTGCAGATATGTCCACACACACATTATCTCATCTTAATGCTATACAGAATCTCACCACTTTCTCATTCTTCATTTCTCTCTTTTAGTACTCTATATTTTTTTGACTGAATTTTCTCTCCTTCTTCATCTTCCACTTCACTGCCTTTTTACTTGATGTGGTGATATGAGGTGTGGCAACTCGGACCGTTACGCAGTAATGTTTGGTCCTATGTCGATTTTGGATTGATGGAGAACCTCGCACATAAGCTCACCGGCTCAAGTTCTCCCACTTCACACTAGTATACAAAGAAAAAAGACTCATGCCAATATAGGCAAGGGTGTATAGGAGGAGATGTAATTTAAAAAGTAGGTTACTCGAAACATTCAAACTTTATAAGATGTCAAAGAGTGAATACATCTGCGCCATTGTCAGCGATTTTCAGTCACGTCACCAAGAGTCCTCAACCACTGATTCCTGGCGTCTTGGGCACCCCATTCCGACAGTTTATACCACTCTACGCGCTTTAGACCAGCAGTCAGAGAGTTCATCGACTAGTGCCACGTCTTAGTCTGGGCATTATCAGCCTTCGGCTAACCTGAACTAACTTCCTTAATACAGCAAATCCATGTAGGTGGCGGTCCAGTATGTGCAGTCACTGAAGCTCCACAACCTCACCGATATCCTTATCTGCCTTGCCTAATAACTTTTCGCCTAGTCTCGACACTGCTCACATGGTGATCCCATCATACACCAGCAAGGCTAAGAAGACAATGATGGTCAAAAACGGCTTCATATCTACTTTTAACGACCATGTCCCACAGTCATACAACAGGACGGAACATGAAGCAATGCACTACACTTGTCCTAATATAGGTCGTCGGATAGTTAGCCAGTCGGTACCAGAGATGAAAAAAGTTGGAAAATGCCGAACCAGCCTTTTGTACCCAAGTTGGGATTGCGTCAGCAACTAGCCCGTTTGAGTTGATGCAACTCCCCAAGTAAGTGAAGTGGTCGACACATTCCACCATTTCACTCCCCATCCTTAAACTAGAAGTAGCTGCAAACTAGTCCTAGAGCATCGTCATATATTTGATAGGTGTGAAATATATCCGAAACATAGTCAGATTTCTACTCAAGGCCTTCAGAAGACCTGGCATTCTGTCAGCGTCTTTGTCTAACTAGATAATGTAGTCTGCGTACTACATGTCAACCACATGCTTAATGATCGGTTACAGTAGCGTAGGCGTGTTCCTTGTCTAATGTGTGCAATTTCTTCTTTAAAGCCTTCCATTCTGTCTTAAGTAACATCATCCGTAATTTCTTGTGTACTCTTTTACTATAACTAGTACAACTTTCTTTTCCTGTCAAGAATTCTTCATGTAGTTTCCACTTGTTGCATTATTGTAAAGTATGTCACATTGGACCGACATACTGTACGTTGTTTTTGTGTCAAAATTTTCGACTGCCCAGTGGGAGCCAGAGCGAAATGTGTCAATTTGCATTTCTTTTGACGTAGTCATAGCATTTGTCCAACTTCAGAAGATCAAGTTTACAAGACCTTAGTGAGAACAATTCTTCTCAATGCCAATGAAAACTCATCACTTCCAGTTGACAACATACGAAAACTCCCAATCAATCAGTCAATCATCACAGGCTTTGTAGGATCTTCCATCATCATCATTATCAACATAGGACCAGGCATCACTGTGTAACGGTCCAACTTGCCACACTTCACGTCAGTTCATCAAGTAGAAAGGTAGTGAGGTGAAAGTTGAAGATAAGTGAATGCAGTCAAAGGAAATATAAAGTACGAGAAGAAAGGAAAGAGGAGTGACAAAATGGTGAGATTCGGTATAGTGTCGTTAAGATGAGGATAATGTGTGTATACAACTGCACCACTGACATCGATTCTCAGCCATGTGATCACCTACAGTCAGTCTCCAACCACTGGTTCCTCCTGTCCCGTGGACCCCAACCACCTAGTCTGCATCCCCCCACATGGCTTAAACCAACAGTCACAGACTTCATACATTGGTGCCATGTTTTAGTCTGGCCACCTCGGTCCTTTTTCCAGCCTGGACCCATCTCAGCCAACATTGTCTGACGAAGCAATCGGTGACTAGGCATACGTAGTACATGTCCCAACCATCTCAGTCGATGAAGGTTCACAACCTCGTCAACTGACTTACCTCTTCTCCCCAAAACTCTACACCTAACTTCTGCATTACTCACATGGTGACACCACGAAACAAGGCCTATACTACGAAGGCAGGCAACTGTGGTCAAACACCTGAAGCCTTCTCATGTCTTCCACTTTCAATGGCCATGTTTCACAGCCATACAGTAGAACAGAGCGGACTGCTGTGCAGTACACGCGACCCTTAATAAACAAACGAATATCAAGGCGGCGCCATAGGTGGCGCAAATTGGCAAAAGCCAATCGAGCCTTTTGTATCCGTGCCGAAATCTCATCGACAACTAACCCACCAGGGTTGATCCTACTTCCCAGGTAAGTGAAGTGGTCAACACACTCAACCACTTCACTCTCTATTGTTAACCGCGGTACCGCTGAAGACCAGTCCTGGAGCAAATATTTGCATTTGGGTGGTGAAAATCGCATCCCAAACATTCTCAAATTCCCACTCAAAGTGTTCAGAAGACTCTGCATCTCATCAGTCAGCGTCTTCACCTAACAGGACTATGTCATCTGCATATTCTAGATCTAAAGAAAATTCACCTGTGATTGGGTCAACGTTTGTGTAATTAGGAGACGAGAGGGAAACCTCCATAAGAATATCTATGATAAAATTAAATAAGAATGGGGATAGTGGGCATCCTTGACGGACACCACTTGATGAGTATAGCTCCCTGGACAACTCGCCATAGGCTCTAACATGCCCACAAGTGTTCGAGTAGAGAACTTTCAATAACGTGATGTACTTACTAGGCACGCCTTTCAGTGACAGACACTGCCATAAGACTTCTCGATCAACGGAGTCAAATGTCGCCTTCAGGTCGAGAAATACAGCTATTGTCGGGCGTCTGTAGGCATGCCTATGTTCCAGGACCTGGCTCAGTGTGAATATTTGGTCGATACATCCACGGCCAGGTCTAAAGCCTGCCTGGTTTTCTCGGGCTTGCTGGTCCCGAGCTCCACTCAGGCGTCGGAGAATTATAGAACCTAGGATTTTGGATACTATGTTCGTCAGGCTGATTCCTCTGTGGTTATCACAAGAGGACTTCTCGCCTTTCTTGAAGACTGGGATGATGAGTGACTTGGACCAGTCGGAGGGGATCGTATTTGATTCCCATATACTGGCTAACACTTCCGTTAACCTGACTAAGAGCACTCTACCACCATTCTTGTATACCTCAGCAGGTAGTCCGTCTGGTCCTGCTGCCCTTCCCCGTTTCAGGCTACCTACCGCCAGGATCTTCCGTGTCCTATAGAAACACCCTGCAAGTGGTTCTGAACTCCATGAATGTTTTTGTACCTGGTTCAGAAAGCTATCGGATAAATATGTTGGTTTCAGTGATTGGGACACCTCAACAAATCAAGTAACTAAGTGGTCTAGAATACTATCAGATACTGCTTGGAATCCAAATAATTAACAGGTACACTATAGCCTCTTTTACGTATTTTATTTCTGAACAGTAACGTAGGAGTGATCAAAGCTTCCTAAATGTATCGTATCTGACTGCTGAATTTTTTGGATCATTTTTTATGCTTCTTCTCTGTTCCTTCCAATTTCGTTATTTGGTGTAGGAATTTTCTAGATACCCATATTTTACTTGCTTTGCATTTAAATGAATTTACTTGAGCTTATCTTCTCAATGAGTTCAGAAGACCCTGCATTTTCTCACCGTCTTCAACTAGCAGGACAATGTTGTTTGCATACTCCAAGTCAACTACACGCCCTCCGGGCAGTGGATCAATCCCTTTGAAATCAGAGATACCTGAGATTACATCCATAACGGTTACATCTATAACGAAGTTAAACAGGTAAGATTACAGTGGGCATTCTTAGTCGATACTACTGGTTGTCAGTTTAGATGACAACGCTCCATAAGCCTTTACGCAACTGTATGGGTTTGATTAGAGAGCCTTGATTATTTGTACACAATCGTTCGGTACTTCTTTCACAGTCAGACTCCTGTCAGTGGACAGATGCAAATACCATCCTCAGAACAGGTAATATGACAGGTGTT